AAGTTTACAAGGAGCATGACGCACGTATACATCGCACTTTCTCACTAAAGTTCCCATCGTCTTCACATGCTCTACTGCCCAAGGATGCAACTGAGTGAGCCGACGGTAGAGCGGAGTAATCCGGTGTTCTGCACTGTCGGTTTGGGCGCAACCGCGGAGGGGCACAACCCATAGGAAAAAAGGAAGGCTGATGAACAGGGGAGACGGTCTTATCGCATGGGAGTTCTCAAGTGAACCCTGATTTTGACTTGTCTTAAAACGTCACGCAAGCGGCAAACCTTTCCTTTCGTTGCTTTGCTTAGGGAAGCCGCCGCAGGATGTGTCGCGCATAGCCGTGGTCTGCGTGAAAAGCACCTCGTCGTGCGAATCGCCCTACACCTAATGAACAGGACTATGCTAACCATGATATGGAAAGCCACGACGGTGCTAGTGGAATGGTTGGAGGAGTCTGACGATGAACTGTGGTCCAATTTCAATGCTTGTTTGTGAATTTTGATCCTATCTCACATCCCTCACAATGTGCCCATCCGTAGTGATGACTGCGTTCACCGAACTTGTGTACAAAAGTACGAAGGTTCTGTGTACACATTCCACAGCATCGAACCAATTATTTGTCTGGGTGGTTGATAGCGAAAGTGAAAGTTTTTGTTATTATAGATGGCGGAAAATAAATTGTCAGAGAAGGAAAAATCCCAAATGTTCCAAGAAAGAATCAACAGAAAGTCTCTAATAGACTGGATAAGGATTAGTGGCCTAGATAATGTGAAAAGAAGAAATCTGGATGCTACTCTAGATGACTTTGCTAAGAAGGTGTTCGAGTAAGGAGTATATAATTGGTAGCGATATAGAGCTAGCACTACATGTTAGGATTCTGGCCGAGATAAAGACCAACTGGTACTTATGACCCGCTTCCGCAGGAAAAACACAAAACAATAGCTATAATAGTGAATTAGCTGGGAATTGAAATTTAGGGACAATTTATCAGTTACTATATGTTATAATGTTATATATCATGTGTATTTACACGGATTAGCTACAGTTTCTGGAAGTTTTTCGTAAGTGAAGGAAAAGAGGAGTTTGCACGATTGCAACCAACGTAATGCAAAGATGGAAAAAACTTTGTCTCTGACTAAGACCGTTTGGAAAATATAAATTTATGTCTTCAATCGGAATTGATACAGTGATAAGTATGATTTTTAGACTTTATTTGATAAAGCAAATTCGTGAAAAATATGTAAACAAGGGTAAAACCAATAGAGGTACATTTGCGTAAGAGTATGCTCTAAATCGGTCGCATGGAGGTAATTTTTGAATCTAAATTATATTATATTTATGTGTCTTATAATAATGCCTATATATCAACCTCCTGCAGTCTTAGCATTATCGATGGATGCTATCATGAAAATGGACTTGCTGTTGAAACTCTTTTTTCTGAAAGTGAGAAGAAGGAGGTCGAGATGATGGTTGTGAAAGTTGCCCTGTTTGAATTGTATGATAATTAAGAAAGGTAAAATTAACAGAGGAACATTTGTGTATCCAAACCTAGATAAAGACAAAGGAGAAATTAGTTAAATGGTTAAAAATTTCATAATTGATATGAAATCATAACGTTATTATAAATTTTAGAGAATGAAACTGAAATGGGTTGAAATGCTATATGTTCATTCAGTTACAATAAAGTGAATAAAGTTCCTTTTATGATTTTTATCAAGAATTTTTGAGGTCATAATGGAAAGTCTTAGCAGTATGTGTAGATTATAAGCTTAAGCGTTTTTTTGTGGAAAAAATGTTATTATAATGATTCAAGAGAAAGAGTAAAGGAGCGATATGAGAATAGTGATGATAAGAAGATTAAGCAAAATTCCCAGAACTGGGAACCAACATCTGCTGGAATCGAGAAGACCTCGTAACCACAGAAGTTAGCACTCTAAATAAAAGAGAAAAAAGTTTTTAAAACTCAGTTACACTACATGGTATATTATATAATTCATATATACTATAGAAGATATATGTATATCCATAGGAATCCATGTTCGACTATTCATAAATCTTGGCATAGTTTGAATCTTCTGATTAGTTTCTTTAGCAGCGTCCAAGATTGGTACAGATATTTATTCCACAATATACAGATTGGAGTTTCGGCAAACTCGCTTCCTTCAGAGTCTGAAAAGTCGAAAACACGTAAGTGAACTATCCGATAAAACACCTTATCGACCACAGAAAAGAGCCCAACCCTCTAGACAAGCAACAGCATCAACCAAAACGCAAGATCAAGCCAGTGCTCACCTTAACGGATAATAGATTTGGTGGGTGCAGACCACTTATATCAAAAACTGTACTGCATTACTTTTATATTAATCTAGTAACCCAGTCCTGACCTGACCTCATTATGCAAAAGCCACAAAGGCTCTGATATGGTGACAGCTCGTTAGTAATGGCTAGGCACTCATCCTTCCGGTTGATTTTTGGATTTTGGGCGGCTATCCGCTTCGAGTGTCTTGCGCGCTAGGATTTCGAATTCACGCGCCAGGATTCGAACCTGCACTCCCACCTCCGCGTCGTCATGGCTGAGCCTGCGATGCATGCCTAACGGAGTAGCTACAGTAGCTACATTGCCCCTGCTGAAACCATCTAAGTGTTCTTTGACGCGCGTGCATAGGGGGCGGCCTGTCTCGCCAATATACCTGTCTCCACATGTTGTACACATGATAAGGTAGACAACACCTGATACCATACACCTTCCTTGCCAAACGGACAAATTATACACTGAGGAGTTGTACAGAGACGATCATACTCGCGGTTTCGTACCAGTTGCTGCTTAAGGTTTGCAGGAGGAATGTCGACGAACTTTACCATATCGTTGAGGTCTCCTTGATGGAGCACTTTGCGAACAGCCCTACTAAACTCTTCTGAGATGTACGGTAAACAGAATGAGATCTGATCTTCAGCTTCTGATCTAGCGGACGATGAGCCCGGGATCTGTAAGAACGACGAGTCACCGTGCTGTATCCATTGGATCTTGCTACGGATATACATCCATATATACATATGACAATTGACGGAGTACAAGAACTGTAAGTTAGTAAACTTTAGCTATTTTAACAACCCTCAAAAATTTATCTTAAAGTATCCAAAAAACACACGAGACTCATGAACTCTCCTTCCTTACTGAGGATCGAGGAGAGTTCTGATTGTAAGATCCTTTACTCCGCTCAAGGGAAGGAAGGAAACGGAGTGTTCAAAAAAAAAAACTCTCTTCTTTCTTATTGTAGAACAGGTGTTCGAAGATTACTACCCTTAAATAAATAGGGTGTATGTCAAAAGGCGCGATTTTTATTGCCAGATAGACACCAAATAGCACATAACAGGTGTTTTATGACATTCTAAAAGCCTTTAAATTTTTGAAGGAAGTATATTAGATAATTTCACGGATTTTTCAATCTTGCTACCTTAATATAAATTCAAAAAAGCAAATTTAAAAGACAAAAACCCATGAAAATGCAGTCAAGAGCTAATTTGTAAATATTTCGGTCCGTTTCCCAGCAAAAGCTACCAAACTCAGCAAGTAGTAACCTCAGACAGCTAGTAAGCTAATGCACTTTATCTGGTACTTTTTAAGACTCGTATAGCACTAAACTGGAGTTGTGAGATGTTGACAGCCGGAGAAATCGCGCCTCTTGACCGTCTCCCAAATAAATAGAGGGAGCGTTTTCTCTCGCAATGCAAGTCTTTTCAATAAGATCCAGATGGTTTAGCATCAGAGGGTAGTTTGCTTTGAAAGGAGGATAAGTTAAGAAATCAGAAAGCTATAAATTATTTCTCGTTTTTTCCCAAAGCACCGGTTTCTTCCCTCTCGCTTCCACGTGTTGCTCAAGAAAGATCGTCGATGACTATGTTCATTAAGATGTCAATGGATGGTCTTGTTACCACCCTTCAAACCCTTTCCCGAACTATACTGCAACGCTTCCTCTTTATTTGACCTAACCTATTTCGTGCAATCCTAGTCATTTTTGACATTTTGATCCAACAAAAGGATGTACCTAAGACTGCATGTCAGGTAGGTAGCTAATCTAGGGCGATAGCATTTCTTAATGCTAATCATCGGTATCATTTTCATGCAGCAAAAAGTCTGCTTTTATGGTTTGTAAGCACTAATTTGGAGATTCTCAGACAGCGGATAGGACCCCTCCGCCGGAGAAATGGCAGGGTCGCGGCGTTTCCCCAGCGGTGGGTCTCCCATTTGTCCGGCGGAGCCCTCCCATTTCTCCGGCGGAGACCTCCCATTTCTGCTCCGGATACCTCCCATTTACTGCTCCGGATACCTCCCATTTTCTGCTCCGGATACCTCCCATTTTCTGCTCCGGATACCTCCCATTTTCTGCTCCGGAGCCCCCCGATTTTGTGCTCCGCAAGTCTGCCGCGGCATACTGTAATTACCCCTAATTAAAGGCAGCTTCCAGGCAGATCTGGACCTATGGGGCTTTTACATGGAAAGTCTTTTGGGGCCCTAACTAAGGCACTGCCGAAGCAGCAGTTCAGGTAGTGCTCTAATGGCGGAGATATTCCCCTCGAAACAGACCCCCCGCGAACGTATTCGCATGGATTCATGGCAGTTTCGCGCGAGGATCCACGCTTTGCGCCATGAATCCATGCGAAACACGGTCGCGGGGTCCAGTTTCGAGCAGAATATCTCAGGCGTTAGAGCACTACTTGAGCTGCCAGTTGGGTAGTGGCTTAGTTAGGGCCCCAAAAGTACTTTCCATGTAAAATCCCCATAGGTCCAGACTTGCCTGGACGCTGTCTTTAAGCTCCAAACCCCAATTTTGTCTCTAAACCCCACCCAAATAAGCCGAGTAGGACCCCCCCCCCGGGTAGGAGTTTAGCGCGACCCTCACCCCGTACTCTACCCCCTCCCTCTCACCCCTAGCGTTTGTGGATAGAAGATAGAAGAAAGAGAAGAGATAAGAGATTTATTTCAAATTTTTCAAACTTTCGAAAAATCATCTTATATCGTTAATCATTTCACACCCACTGGTGTAAAAAAATGAACCTTTCCAACAAGACAACGGTTTGTGGAACAGTTTAAATTGCAGTCGCAGTTGGCCCATATTATTTATTTGCTTGCATATATGAAGAACGAATTTTCTCCACTGATGTCATCGGGAACAGCGCCAAGATTGAATTTGTTATTTTGATGAGCCAGTGCTAGAGATGCTCGTCGTAAATTGCGCTCCTCATCTGCTCCCTATAAAACAAAAGAATAACGTAAACTCTGAGACTTAAGAAAATGATTGGAATCTGTTAACGGATACTAATCGAAACTTGTCAAACAGTTACTTGAAACAAACTTTAGCTTCTCCGACGGTATACGATAGTATGGGGAAAACAAAATTCCACATTTGGGTTGTTCAATTTCTCACTTTAGGATGAACAATAGCTACCCTACCCTTAAGGATCCCTAAGTAAAGAAAATATACTTGCTAAAGTAAAAAGTCTCGAAAAGACCCGACACCTTTCCCAAGATACGTTCGCGTGCTTCACGTGCCGGATCCTAAAATATTTCGATTTATAGGCAAAGATCGAGTATCGAATAAACTAGTTCAATGAATCAGGGCAAAAACGGTCGAGAGATGTGACAAACTTTCCAAAACGTAACTTACCGCAACGATTGTGAAATCGAACCGCACATAGATAATTACAACGGTAAAGAGTGCAAAGAAAAATGCCGTGGCGAGCAATGGTTCGCGGATCATTTGCGAGAACTCAATCGTAAAACAGCTGAAAATGTATGACATAATTTCCAAATTCTAGCAAAAAAGAACATCGATTTATTCAGATCGAAGAGCAACTCACAGTGAAAGACTGGATATGCTCTGGAACAAGGTTTTCTTTCTGCAACACTATAATTGTTCTGCCAGTTGTGTCCAAGTATGTAGCGCGGACTTCATCGGGTCTTCTATCCATGCTGTATGGTGTGATAAGCCTCGCTTTTCTAAAATCAAACATGAATTTTAAAAAGCAGAGATGCGTTACACATCGGAAAAGGTTAGGTGCAATGTGTAACAAAGGGTGGCTTGTTTGTCGAGCACCCTAATTATATGTTGGTTCCTTCTCAACAATTTAAACTATATGACCCTTTCAAGACTGACAGTGGTGATCAAGAGCTTACCTTATCATTTCTGGCAGGATGATCTTCGTTGTAAGCTTTTCAACCACAGCATTGTCAAAAACATGGTCGAGAACTCTCATTTTTAGCGCATAATTATTGCCCTTATTGTAAAGATATTCGAAAGAAGGCACATTATAACCGATAACATAGGAAGTTCGCCATCCTCCAAAAAGCGGGAATCTGAACGATAAAAAGGAATAAAATATTAACAGAGGCAATAAGTACGTGACATGTAACTCGGTTTCAGTTCGACATCAACAGAATCAGCGCGAAGTCGCACAGCTGATGTTGATATGTTTCCAATCTCATCTCTATAGTATATATCCTTGGCCGACGCTGGTAAAATCGTCTGAATGGGTAAAGTGGAGCCTATTGAAAAAAGTGCTTCTTTGTAGCGATTCTATACAAGCTAATAATGAATCTAATGCCATTTGCTAGCCGCTCCTAGCTGCTCTTAGCCTCCTATTAGATTGTGCATCATCATAGAAACAGCTCTTAGATTTCTAAGAGCTGTTTTTATGATGATGCAACAACAAGCAAGAGTATGGATGCTCTTTTCATCATAACTTGCAAAAGTGATGAAACTTATCACAAAGTTAGAAAAGATGATATATAAAACGAAAAGCACGTAAAAATTCTTTCACTTCCGGATTTCTAAGTCACAATGCTAAAACGCAAATGGGACACAGTTCAAGAACCACTTTTGCTGGATCGCAAATTGTGGGTTCAACAAAGGGCTTCTAGATCCCCTTCTCAATCATGATGCGAACGATCAAGAAGATACCCAGAAGCAGCAGAAGAGTAGGGCCGTCTTTGCATTCGAGAAAAAAAGCAGTGTCACACAGTAAAATCTGTTAATAGTAGGACTTACCGTGAAATGCAGAAGAGCCGGTTGTCGACGCCCCCTACGATCCAGTTGATGATCAATGCGAGAGAAGGGTTCCCTAGATGACCTACACGATGAGCGAACAAGTGTTGACTACACTCAGTGTCCAAACGCTTATGTGAGAAATACAATGAACAGATAAGATATTTGATCAAGAAGACAAAATCACCTTGAGTTCCTTGGTTTATATCTTTAATCAAATAGTTTTTCTGCTTAGATAGATAGTATTCAGACACTGGAAGTGACTGAGCTAAGTGTTGAGGTGATGCCTTTTTGTATGGGTGTTTTATGCTCCTGTGTGCGCAAGGACCGCAATCAACTTATCGTCACGCTTTTGAAAATGAACCATATATACACGATTCATGACACGCAAAGACTGGGCGCCGTTGCGCCCATCCAAGATAGTTCGTGCTTGGAAGAGACCGCAGATTGTAAGAGAAACGAACGGGCGCTAGAGAGACACCGATACGCCCGCAATATATGCGTCTATGAGTCGCCTATAAGATTCAAACAAAGATTACATACACTTTTCTCGCTAGCAAGGAATCACCACTGAGGCACGAGCCACGCATACTTTACCTTTCTGTTTCTTATCTGGCGTTGCATGAGACTGGTTCATGCTGATCCCTAAGCTCCGAAACAGTGCCAACACAGTGCCCGAACTGTGCGCTGTGCTGGAACTGTTCCGGAACATACGGATCAGTATGAATCCAGTCTAAGAGAATGAAACAAGCGAGATCTGACAACACCAAACTCAGACAATCACAGGCTCTCAGCCGGCGGCGATAAAGGGCAGTTTCACTGAGCGGGCGGCGATACTGCAAAAGTGGCAGTGAGCGGGCGACGACATTGTAGGAATGGCGGTGAGCGGGCAGCGACGGGCTACCAGCGGGCAGCTATAATCTTTCATGAGTCAGAAAATAGCTGCAGAGCGCATTCATTCCTACAAAAGCAGCCAAAAGGCGACGATGAGGCAGCGACTCCGTTAAGCTGGCAGCGGCCGTGAAACGATAGGGCTGCGAATACAAGATTTCTGTCAGCGGGCCGCATCAATGCTATGAGCAGGCAGCCTTAATTCATAACGCCGTATTGTGGCTGCCAACTGGATGCCATATCGTTGCCCGCTCGAGACATTGTTGATCGCACCAGAAAAGTTAGATGTGCAGGCAAACGAGATTGGCAGCGTGGGCTCGCGTCATTTTTTCATTTCTTGTTGCCTAATCTTTGTTCTCATCTTTGCTTTTCTTTGTTTTCATTTTCGTTATCATTCAGTGCTTCATTTCAAGTACTAGTGAACCAGTACCTATAGGCCCCGGTCAGACTTCACGCGACTTAATCGTCGCGACCAAATCAAGATTTCCATTCATTTTCATTTCACATTCAAAAATTTCGGTCTGGAAAAGTATCACAACCGAATGCAAGTTGATCTGCATGGAATGATGTTGTAACAGTTGTCTCCTCGCGATTCAGTCGCGACGATCAAATCGCGTGAAGTCTGCCCGGGGCCATAGGCGCTATTTGGAAGAGCGTTTGCTTCGGGACTCGTCGTGGTTCTCCGCTATTTGAAGATTTTTGAATTGAGCTAACGATTCTTTATATATCAGATTTCTTTTCTCTATGTTTGACTGTCTATCCAACTGGAAGAAGTGCTTAATGAAAGCCCCGTTTGTTTTTGAATCAAAACATCCACTGCACAATGTAATAAAAACTCTTTTTCAAACTCTCTCGAAAACGGTAAAAAACCATCTATTCACTCATTTTACGAATGTAAACATAAAAGTGCCTTTCTCTCAACATTTTCGCCGCTGTCACATCATTCGACTACAAGCGTGCTCTCTTTGCGCTCAAAGATCTGCATCATTGCGTTTCGCATGCGTCCATTTTCGAAATGCTTATTGATTAGAAGGCGTCGCTATGCTTTGCTTTTTCAATCCTGTGTTTATAATTTTTTCGAGAAAAAAACTCTCAGCCTCAGCGGATTACACGCGAAAACATGACCTTTTACGCAACGAACGACCACCACGGCTTACTCCACGCCAGCGTGTTGTACGCAAAGTTCATTGAGTGAGGAAGGATTGATTTGAGGTTTAGTCTGAGTGCCACACACAGCGTAAGTTGTTTTCGTCGCACGTGTTTCTACCGATCGGCCTTTTCAAAAAGTAAAATTCTCATTTCGAAGCCAAGTGCATTCATCGAAACACAGTGCGCACCTTTTCAATGATGTACCGTCGGTTCATTTCATATGATCATGTGGGCCATTGCACACACCGATCTTTGGCGTACCCATCCTGGATTCTTGGAGGACGCAACCCTTCCGTTAAGCGATTCTGATGTTTTCTCGCTGTTTTCTTTTCTTTTTAGGTACTATTAATCTCTGAATGATGTAAGCGATAGCAATCGCTCACTCTCTCGCGTTTTTGCGATCGCAAATCCGAGATGGGGACGCCAAAGATGGACGGTGTGTGCGGGTGCACACATGATCATATGAAATGAATCGACTGTACTTGTACAGTGAGCAATAAAAGGTTTACAGTTTTACGGAAAATTGTTTGGCACGCAGTCGTTCGTCAACGCAGCTATCGTCGATTCGTTAACCGTACGGACTGCTGAAGCGCTGCGGACCACATGCGGCGCGGTTAACATGTTGCGAGAGCACGAACAATGGCGATCTTGTATTGGAGCAAGCGTTTTACCTCGCGGCGCGTGCTCCGCGGTTATGTCCAGTCCGCGCAGTCAACGAATCGACGATAGTTATTTACAGCTGTGATGTGGAACTAGTTTCTGTCTCTTTTTATCGTCAAGGCTTGATAAAGTCTCCCTACCTCCTAGAAATGAAATTAGGGCTTTTCATACTTCCACTAATTGCTGCACCATATTTGTCTTGCGTTTCTCTCTGTCTAATGTCTGTCTTTGATGTATATCTATATATTTCCAACTACTCTCTCTTTTGCAGGCATTTCATGATGTTTGTAATCGTAGTCAATTACAGCTTCTCTTAGACGCTGCAGTCTCCGACGAAGACGCACACAGTTTCAGAGGAAGTGTTGCACAACATAAGGAAAATGGGTTTGGATCAGAACTGACAGTTGCCTGAACGATACTCAGGCGCGAATGGATTGTTGATTCGCATGAGAAACCCCTGCATTGCGCGCTAACACTGGCAGTTCCTCACTCATGTTTGTGAATATATTTATCGCGGTGGAATGTGTATTGCTTTGTCGCCGCTCCCCATATGGATTCGTTTTATCAATGTTTGTACCCTCAAGGTCTATTATCAGCATATTTTCTGTTCTAAAGAACGTAAATCTATGCGTGTGTATTACTGCGTAGTTGCGTACTCATCCACTTAACTGTTACTTGCCATTTCATTAGTTTTAACCTTTATCCAGAGTTTACAAACGTGGCCGTACATAGTCGTAGTATACGATCTAAGCTAACCTCTAAGCTTTTGGGCTACGGACACTTCCTATCTTTTAGGAAAGCGGGAAGCGGCAGTGAGGCGATAGCACGGAGCTTTTGGTGGGTTTTCGCGGTGGCTTTATGGCTGCCGGCTGAAAATATTGTCTGTGTAGCTTCTTGTTATGCCTGGACTACAACGTTGTAACTTCAATTAATTCATTATAACGATGGCAAGTAACAATGAAGAACATAACCATCTGGGGCCATATCTATTTCTCCATGTGGTCATATCTCCAGATGGTTATGTTCTTCATTGTTACTTGTCATCGTTATAATGAATTAATTGAAGTTACAACGTTGTAGTCCAAGCATAACAAGAAGCTACACAGACAAGATTTTCAGCCGGCAGCCACAAAGCCACCGCGAAAACCCACCAAAAGCGCCGTGGCCTTATCGCCTCACTGCCGCTTCCCGCTGAGAACTGTAGAAGCGAGCGGGCTACAAATATGGCAATGAGCGGGAGGCTAAAGCTGGCAGCGGGCGGACTGCTATGAGGGCTTCAGCGGGAAGCGAAAGTGGCCGCGATGAGGCCACCGCGGTTTTGGTGGGTTTTCGCGGTGGCTTTGTGGCCGCCGGCTGAGAGCCTGTGATTGTCTGAGAATGGCAAATCATCAGTGCTTTTGGAACACTGTAATTTCTTCTAAATCGGATAAAGTCAAACTTTGTGGAATATGCCTGCTCTGTATAGCAGAACATTGCAAAAATGGAAAGTGTGAAGATCCCACCTGAGATGACAGATCGATAGTCCTTTCGACATTAGCCACTTTCCAATCAGCAGCAAACGCCACTCCCACAATGAGGATCAGTGGCATTGAAGGCTCGCGCAACTGGGGGTTCATTTTTATCTAAAACGGACCTCATTTGTATAACCAAAGCTGTAGAAGTGAAAGCTTACTCCTTTCCACGCTGATAAATGCAGATGCGTTGGCTTTCAGACCTCCATCGTCTTCCACAACGGCATAAACACGTAATGACCCTCTATCAGCCCCGATGCTGTTGCTTTGGCTTTGTCGGCATTCACCAACAAAGCATTTGTAGGACCTCTAAAACAAAAAAGAAGTAGAATTCGGTTTTGGATTGAATAGAAGCCTTACGAGACTTGTGTCCACTGGTAGCTAACAATGCTGCCATCGTCCTTAGCATTGCCATTAAGAACGATGGAAGATTCGGGAAATGTATGATTACCGCCAGCATCAGCAACTAAAATTGTGATTTCATAAGATCAGAACTCAATTTCACACGGTAACACAGCAGCATGGAGCCATTGAAGAAGAACAGAGAATAATTGAATTCAAAAAAAAACATAACATAGAAGTGCGACATTCAAGAAACAACTCGCCTGGAGGCAGATTTTGAGCTTAAGCTGACACTGAAGGTGACTAAGTGCATCCGCACGAAAAATTGAAACATAAACCTGAAAACGAGGAACTTACAACAACATAAAGGCCAACGCGACGAAGAGCAACGCGGAAAAGAAAAAAAACGGTAAAGAAACGCGCAAAAACAACAAAAACAAAGAAACGGCGACTAAAATATGGACAAAGAGCGTAAACAGAGGACTCATCACCGTGGAGTTAGACGTTTGCTTGCTACGCGCCAAATCGATACGCAGCCTGCTCCGGATACCTCCCATTTTCTGCTCCGGATACCTCCCATTTTCTGCTCCGGATACCTCCCATTTTCTGCTCCGGATACCTCCCATTTTCTGCTCCGGATACCACCCATTTTCTGCTCCGGAGGCCTCCCATTTCTGCTCCGGACCCCTCCCATTTTCTCCGGCGCGGCTCTTCCAAATTTGGCGGACTCGCGCCGGGCAAATTTCTCCGGCGCGGAGTCCGCCAAATCTGGCAGAGTCGCGCCGGAGAAATGGCGGACCTTTGCAGCAGGGCCGGAGAAGCCTCCCACTTGCCTGCCAGTGATGTCACCGCGATGGACCGCCCATTTGCCCCTCTCTCATTGGTCAACTGGGTCCGGCGCGACTCTGGCAGTTTCGGACTGTCCGGCGGAGGGGTCCCGTCGATTGTCTGAGTTGGGAGGGTAAAGAGCCATGTCTCCTATGAATGAGTATTGCTATCGAATTGTTTTGGCGCACCATGAGTGAGATAGAAATAAAACAGAATAAAAAAATTTCACTCGCATGTAGGCAGAAAGTGTGCGATGTGTTTGCACATTTACTCAATAAACTTCATTTAACATATATTGAAAAATTGAGATTAAAAGTGTTCATCATTAGAATCTTGCTTATTTCCTTGCTATTAGATTAGCAAGAATGGAACTACGTAAGATTTATAACACTCGAGACTGAAGCAATCTTTTGATTTGCTAATTCATTGAAAGCAGCGTTCGGCAAAAGTGTCAGAAATCTATAGCATTTGAATAAGGGTCCTCCAGCTAAGCAACTAGTGAAGTATGTAGCGAAAAAAGCGTCTCAAAGCCTAAAATTTTCTCAATTTTCTCCGAAAGTGTTCCAGCGCCTCTCCCTCGTTCAACCCTTTCAAGTAGCGATTCCAAGCTGCAAATAGGATTGCGCGTACCGCACATAGTCATGAGCAAATGGCTACCAACTCTGCGCCTCCAGCTTTGACGGGCCCTACTGCACACGCCCAAATTCGAAGTTGACTGCTTTGGGAAAAGCCTTGTCAAACATTTTTGCGCTTTCCAAGCTATATTTTGGATTTAGCGAGGACGCATTAGAACGGTTAAGAAGAATACGTCAGTTGAACTTTCTGACCGAACGCCGCCTTCAACTCAGTAAGCAGCCTAATTATACTTATGTTAGGCAGTTCACATTTCTTCCATATTTTCCGTTTGTAACACCACCATTTTTGCTGCTGGCAGCGTGTCCCTCAACTCCATCTTGAAGCTTTGGTTTGGAAGTTTGTTTTGGAAACAGTCCATCTGTCAACATCCTTTCCAATTTCACTATGGGTACTTCAAAAAGACAACTCCAGAAAAATGCGAACACATAGGAGACGACGACAATGGGAATGACCATACAAATGTACTGCAACGTTGCGATTGTAATTCTCTCTTTTGCTATTTTACAATCAACTCACCGTTTTCCAAATAGAAGTAAAATGCGCAGGTCGATCATCTAGGTCATACACATATCGAATGAGAAAGTGATGAACAATGTATCCACAATAGGATAGTCTACCCAACGGCTGCCATAAAGGATGTCCCATAAATTCCGCGATCAATCCTAAGATTGTCTTGTCGCAAAAGAAGATTAGATATTTGAATACAAACCTCCCCATCCCCAGTGGTCAGCTACAACAACCCACGCTACTGCTAGAGCCCATCCAATTCGAGAAAAATTGTTGTAGGTTGCTCGTACAGCTACGCTGAAGTTTGACTGATAATTATGACTTATCTTAGCAGGCGGGTAGCGTAAATGTGGAATTGACAACTTTGTTCGCAAGAAAAGCAGTGCGATTATGCATGGATTGAAAGTCTGTAAAATTAACCATATGAAGACAAACGCGCTCCATTTAACAGCCAGAAAATTTTTAATCGTCTTTACGTATTCATTTCCACCAATTGTGGTCATTTCGATCACTTTGGAAGTTCATGAATTTCTATTCCATAGTACGCTCTGCTTTTGAAGGAAAACTCATTTTCCGAAATGAACTCGTACAATAATTCAGATGGCCGAATTTGTCTTCCATTTTACTAAGCAGTTTAACTTACCCCCAATTGCTTTCTCCTTTTATATAGCTATGAGGTCCATAAAGAGAAGCTAAAGCAATAGCAGTTGCCAGCATCCACAGTGGTATCACAAAAAACTAAATCATGCTATTAAAGCGGTCCAAAAAACGCTAATTCTTTGAACCTTGCTTAGCTTTGGTTTACTCTTTGTTGCTAAAACATAACCAACAATCATGCCAATAAAATAAGGAGGGCAACGAGTCCAAGGCAATTCGTAGTGTGTTGTAAAAAATTTATCATAATTTCTGCAAAAGAAAATGGAGTTAACTTATTCTCACTAACGCTTCAGAGATTTGATCTTACTCTAAAGCGAACATTCCCGTCATAACAGCAGGAAACGAGTGCTTGATAGTAATGGCATACACATATCCAACACTGGCAGCGATACACGCAATAAGAAGAATAATACCTAAAATAGAAATATGATGCCGATGAAAACTTTAATTTGAGATTGAAGCTCACCAGCAATTTCAGACATATACAGGACAATCAGAAAAATTGGAGCAACAAAGTACAGCTGTGTGTCAACTGCAAGATACCACGTAATTAGGTAGCACATCTAAATTGACTATATATAAAGCATTTATCGTTAGTTTACGAGTATTTACCTCGTCGTATTTGAAGAAATTGTTTATGTACAACATATTACGCCACCAATACTTTTCGCAGGTGGCAGTTTGAGTATCAAACCATGAAAATATACTCTTTGTCCACGGTCCGTTCACGAGTGGGTGCACGACTACATAAAAACCAAGAAAAACCATAACAGGTGGAGTGAGCCTAGAATGAAAAGGAAGTGTCCAGAAAAAACTGAAATTTATCATTTTTCAACGGCCGCTCTGTTTTTGTAAATATCTATTCGTATTGTTACTTTTAAGTGTGAGGAATCTATTCCAAACACATTGGCGGCCATGCAAATTCTTAGTTGTTAGACTTCCTCAAGCCTGGGGCCAGTCAAATTTTTTTTTTACAAATCACGTGCACTGTCATTTACAGTTTACCTACGGAAGCTCTGAAAGGCCGACAAAAAGGAAGGAGATTGTCTTTACAATGAGCGCAAAAGAAAACTATTGGAGTGAGATTATCCCAGGTTACGTCATTTTATCGAACTTAGAGTCACCTTGGGTTTGAGGCGGTCCCAAGCTGTAGTCAGTAGCCCGTAGTAGAGCTCATTCAGAAGAGACGATTTTCCTTGAGGCGCCGTGAGGTTCCGTTAAGTGAAATGATGACCGCCCACTTCCCCTTGCTATAAGGATGCAACGGCACCTGACATGTGGGCTTCCGGTAGGGTTCGGCAGGAAGATCATCTTCCTGCCGAGTCACTGGAGATGATCCGAGCGATGATCTCCCGAAATAGTATGCTAATGAGGAGATTCAGAGCGAATTTTCATAAGTTATTCTCGAGTGGCTTACGATACACGTCAGCTTAACATGTCGAACATGCTGAGTGAGGAGCCACAGTGCAGGCTAACGATCTTTAACAAGATCTAACAAGTGCGGCCACATCTTCGCCGCTAATACAAAAATGTGAATGTTTGGCGAACGGGTTTTGACTTGTATACTTGCATGGACGTGACGTACTCAATCATGTCAATGTGGATGGTTGAAATCATCGATCAATGGGTCAAATGAGGCAGAGCTGACTCGTCGAAGCCTCAACTGAAGCTTTCCTTAGTTGAGATGGAATGAGGCAGCTTTACTACGGGCCTTGTTTGACACTCCATAGATGTCACACGGTAGCAATCTGTCCTTTAAGGACACTTTTCTAACTTGAGAAGAAACTCCCAGAGAGTAATTGAATTTATAGTTAAAAGTGTTGTTCTCCTTGCCGATGTGCTTCAGACTGAAGCGGGAAATATTTGCGCGTGAAGAAAAAAATTGTCAAGATTTTTCCTCTATTTCGGAAGGCATCTGAGATTGTGCTTGATCACTAGTAAGAAAGATACTTTTGATGGTGATAGTTTGATTCTTGATGTAACCATAAAGTATTAGGTTGACACATAAGTTTTGCAACTTTTCTCATAACTTTCCTCTTTTTAAATACGCTTTCATTTTTTGGCATTATTCAGAATGTGACGTAAGCTACAAGAGTGCGTATGCGGTTACTTTTGATATCACAAGGAGAAAAGTTATGAACATTTTTCAAAAACGATTCTTGAGCAGAAATGTAGCCGTACGTGACCTGCATCAAACATGTCAAGACGGAATTGTAGACATCGTTTTGCAGTTGGCTTATAGAGCTCACTAAATAAGAAGTGGAATTAGACAAATTAAAACGTTGACGACAGCGCCGCGCAATGGTCGCGGCAGGCATGTCCCTGTTGACGACGCCGCGCAACGGTGCGCGGCACACCCAATTCCAAATCTGAGATATCCAAACATTCTAATTTGTGTTGATATAATCACTTTGGGCTGAGGGGCATTCCATGCCAGCCCGCCTATATTTTCGCCAGCTTCGCCCACTCCTTTGCCTTTTACGAAAAAGCTTTTTTTCGCCCCCTCTAATCGCATAGAAGAGGCCGTAGATGACTGCGGAACCTCAAGCAACTTCAACCTCGTCCGCGCCCCCTATTAAGTACGGCCACCTCAGTGCCAGCCCCGCCCGTTTTTAAAAATGCCGTACGCAAGAATTCTTGGAATTTATGCAAGATCTAGCATTGTTGAGTGGGCGAGGCCTGCCAAAAGCGGCGAAGCTCCTCCTCTCTCCCCTCCCCTCCCCCACTTGCAACTCTTTTCTTTGTGCGTAAATGCATAATGCATTCCTAATTAATTAGTCATTTATTCCATTCATAACATTCTTTGCTTACATGCAGTTAGGCGTGAAAATGCAGGGAACGGTCCGCCCACAGGGACAGACACAAAAAAAACCCCGTTAAGGTGTCAATATCTAGAAGTTAAGCAACTCAAATGTGTCAAATTTGGAGAGGCAGCTGTCAATACCTAAGCTGAGAAGCTTCAAAATTTCCCGCACCTTTGCATATTGGGATAACTCGATATGCGGAACACGAATGTCACTTATTTGTTGCTAGGATATAACTTTGTATCTTAACCCTACGAAGTAGGCTCATTCATGCGAAACCAGCATCAATTTTGTAATTAGCGTATCGATGAATCCCTTAGACTAAATTTTAGCAAAAACTAAAACAATCTGAAAATTTTGCCTTTGTACCGTGAACCTACCATAGTGCTCACATGCGATGACGAAATTCGGCAAAAAAGGCATTTGTAATTTACATCATGATCCTTATAATACCAAAATATGAATGTGTTTATCAAGAAAGTATAAGAAGGAGCTGCATTATATTTGTGCCAACATAATACTACAACGAAAACATTCCGTTTCGTAGCAGAACTTACAAGAAAATTTTTTAGAATTAATTTTATTTGTAGCGTCACGTCACAAAATGAAGCCAGTGAATTGACTGAGAACCGAAGGTTTTAACTACGAAGTTGCTGAGCTTATACACGTTGTCCAACGAGTTCCAATTGTGTATTCACTCATCTCTTCTTTTAATTAAGAAAGCATTTGAAAAAAGATAAAGTACAGCTTTTAATTTTTGGTTAAATTTGTATACAACCTTTTCCAGCCTTAGTCGTTATCTCAGTATGTTTCATTAACTGTGATACGAATGGTCTAATTTCCTCGTGGCTACAACTTCGATCATTTTCTCCGTACAGTTTCTCAAGTTCGAATTATTTTAAATGTTGATGCAAATGTGCTATGCAGGCTCACCTGATATAGCGATGCACATACCACATGACCCATAACGATGCACGTTTAATATATTCAGTTGTTGGTCTGACTTTGAAGAATGTGTATGTCACGAGTATACCAGAAAGAACAAAGAATGTATCCACAGAGAAAAACGCGTTTATGATAGTTGTAGATAAGATTGGACTGAATATATTGAGAACAGGCGCAAGCGTATCTGTGAATGTTGATTTATTCCCGTAATAGTCGAAACTGGAGACGAATGTACTTACCGCTGGAGGCTTCTTGTGTTAAGACATGCCCGGCAACAACCCATGTCATGGAAATAAAACGGATTGATGCCAGGGATTTGATTGTCCCTTGTTTTGGTTGGTTAACATTCATTATTTGGGATCCACTGCTACATACGGAATAAGCAAGAAATATTTGAAGAGCTACAAAATAAGAGAAATTGTATTGCATGATTGGCTCAGTCTCTAAATAGCCATCAGTAATTGCTTACCCTTGTTTTGTTGTTTATGCTCAAAGGATGTTTGCCAGACATAGTCAACAATAGTTGCGCAGACCGCCCAACACACAAAAAATGCTACACAGCTCCTGTAAAATATCCAAGTCTGTTTTGTGCCAGTTTTTTATGAACAGCAATCCTTACATAAATATCCAAAACGAAAGTGTGTAATTGTTGGTCAACGGCACACAGCTAGTGCTGGTAAATTCCAAAGGCAACGTTCTGTTTGCATTGACACTATTTGAGAAATTTGTGATGTCCTTAGTTAACGGTTATCAGAATTTTTTCTCTTTTTCCATCTATTACCTGTTGTGTACAGCTACTTGGCATGCATACCGCAAGTTTTGGCCCAATACCAACGTCGTATATAGCTGGATTCAGCGTCTATAATGCAAACTTTCAGGTTTCGTTTCCGTATATAAGACCGACCGTGTCAGGCAGAAAATTGTTGATTCCTTCAGTGGGAACGGCATTCACAAAACAGTACTGCACTCGATAAGGTGCTGTTACATCTATACATTCACTATAAGAACCTGAGCTCACTATAGCAAGATTGAGCAAAGCTGGTGGAATCTTTCCGAACGCGTCAAGTTCTAAAAAATAGGTATAAATATATACAAACTATTGAATGATTTCTTATTAACATTATCATATATCATTCAAAAACGGGAAGCAAGAACTACAAGAGAAGGAGAAGGGTTTGGAATTTAGAAAGATAAAAAATTGGTCAATTTTACCCGAAATTGTTCGTTCCTAAGTAAAATGTGCCACTGCCTCTCCACTTCTTCAGTTCCTGCTCCTACTGCCGCTTTATGCTAGAAAATGTAATCTGCACTATCAATTGCTTACTGACGTTTTATGGCATAACTGTTCTCAGTCAGCGTTTGCTTCTGTTCTTTTGTACATTGCCGAGTCCCATTTTGTTCACACTGAATCAGAGTTGTCCTGAGGCTATTGAGACTTGTCAGAAATGCGAGCACGTCCCACTGACATTGTTGTGACAACGTTGTAATGTTGAAGATGTCCAAAGGGTTGATTGGGAAGGGAAACGGCTGAATTGAGACAAGTTGTGAAAACCAAAAAGTAAACTTTGGATGTATAAACAAAGAATGAGCAATTCTTAACGCTATGTTGTACATTTTAAAACAGAATTCGTAAAAAAAATCATCTGCTACATTACGTCGAGAAACGACTTACCATCTTGAAGGAGGTGAAAGCAAAGATTTTTTTGTTGAAGTATGCGAACGAAGATAGAAATGCCAGCACAAGTGTGTAACGCTTAGTCATGCCACCAATGAGAGCAACTGATTTAATGAAAATGCTTTGTGCTCGCAGTGCTTTTCCTTCATAGGCCCCCAAATTCTTCCTCGCGGAAGCTTCCATTCTTTTCTTTTGCCCAATCTGGTGAATCAGACATATCTGCATTTCAGTTAGTGCTAGCTACATGGCTTACATAGGTGATACCTTATGTGTACAAGGTCAAAGCTGAAACAAAGATTCGTCTAAGTCACGTCCCGGGACACCCCTTCACACAATTCAGTCGCCATGCAATTTGACGATTTGTTAGATCTCAGACAGTCGGTGCCGTAGCTCCGGAGGACAGTCGAAATCTGGCAGAGCCGCGGAGGACCCAATCGACCATTGAGAGCGGGGCGAGGGGGCGGTCCCTTCTTGTAGGTCACGGTGACGTCACAAGCAGGCGAATGGGACCTCTCCGGGACGCGCAAATCTCTCTCCGGAGGTACTCCAGATTTGGGAGAGCACCGGAGCAGAGATTTGCGCTCTGGAGGTACGCCAGATTTGGGACACCTCCGGAGCACAAATGGGAGTTCTTCGGAGCACAAATGGGAGTTCTCCGGAGCACAAATGGGAGTTCTTTGCAGCACAAATGGGAGGGCCCCGGAACATAAAATGAGAGGGCTCCGGAGCACAGATTTGCGCTCCGGAGGTACGCCAGATTTGGGACATCTCCGGAGCACGATAGGTACGCAGCCAATTTGCTGTGATACGCAGCTTAGCATTTTCGAAAATAAGCTGCCGTCGCTCTCGACACCCTTTTTTGTCGTTCCTTCGCGTTCGCTTTTCTTTTTTTGGTTTTTCGTGTTCTCGTCGGCGCGTTGGCGTTTATGTTGTTTCAAGTTATTCGTTTTCAGGTTTATTTCGGATCGTGCGGATGCACTCAATCGCTTTTGGTGCTCGGCTCTTGTTTTCGACTTGCTGTCGTTTTTCCACGTTCTTTTCCTTTTTTTTCGTGTTGCTCTTCGGCGCTTTTGGCGTTTATTTGTTCAGTTCCTTCTTTTCAGGTCTCAGGTTTTAGGTTTCCATGCGGATGCACTTAGTCACTTTTATGTTTGGCTCTTTTTGACTTGCTGAGACATCGTTGACTATTGATGGAGTGGTTTTTGTGATAGATCCTGGATGTTCGAAACAAAAAGTTTATAACCAATTCGTGTTGAGTCACTATTAGTATGACCGATATCTAAAGCTAGTGCTATGCAACGTGCTGGTTGCGCTGGTCGTAGTAAGCCTGGTTAGCTTTAGGTCCTAATCGGTCTCACACTGAGAAACTTTGCATTTTAGGAAAGTGTTTGCGGAGATCCCTTTGTTTCTCTACAAGCTCACGAGCTTTCTGAGGTAAGCAGTCTTCCAGAATCTCATGTACGAAAAAGTCTGCCTTGCACATCATGACCAGGTATTGTAATGCTTGCTCAGCTTATCCTAAACTTTCGTTTCTAGGACTTGTCTTTTTGTTCGAATGTATCAGCCTTTTACTCTGACCAAGTCATACAAGCTGGAGCAAATCACTTTTATTTCTTATCATCCATCGTACTGCTTCCGTCACTCCTTTCAACTCTAGCATTAGAAGCAGGTGAGGTGGGGATTGCCATGATTTTGGTAGGTTACATGACGTTGGAACAAAGTCATTTTAGCTGCGGATATGTGGAGCATCAAAGTCCCACTCTGATTCGTTTCTTGGCTTGATCCTTTGCCCAACAAACAACATCATTCGAACTGTTTACATGACCTTGTCAGTTTATATGCTGCTCATAAGCGGCGCTCCGTTTGGCATCTGTGGCGAATATATTTCAGTTCTTTGTGAGTGTTTTTTTCTATTGGAGTGCTTATGTTGACGTGAGTTAATTTTGTGAGGGTCAATGCACGCGAAAGGCACTCGCCTTTGTAGACTCTACTCGTCAAACGATATGTTATCATTCATTCTTTGATTAAGAGACGCGAGCGCGCTTTGCGTACATTTCACTAACAAGTTCATGAATGAGTTTGATTACTACCGCGTTTGATTGATTTACCATTAGATTTCGTGGAAGAACATGTTTGGGCTCGTTGAACCACACTGGCTTGAACACTTTCTTTTACGTATTCCTGATTTTATATATAAAGCTGAATGTCTGTTTGTCTGTCTGTCTGTATGTCTGTATGTCTGTCTGTATGTCTGTGTGTACGTATGTTCCAAATAAAAAATTCCATTTCTTAACCGATCCGGACCAAACTTGGCACACATACACTTCGGGCCCCGGCGGGTGTCACAGTCCACTTTTCGTTATCGATCGATGTCGATTTTATCAATTTTTTGCAAAATTTGAGCTACGGGGCTGGAATTTGGCAGAGAGGTGTAATCGAGCATGCTGATCACCCCCACGGGGGTGATCAGCATGCTCGATTACCCCCCTCTACCAACTCCCAGCCCCCTAGCTCAAATTTTGCAAAAAATCGATAAAATCGATAAAAGTAATGCACGGTTTCGAAAACTAATATTGTATTCGTAATCAGCATGCTCGATTACACCCCTCTGCCAACTCCCAGCCCCCTAGCTCAAATTTTGCAAAAAATTGATAAAATCGACATCGATCGATAACGAAAAGTGGACTGTGACACCCGCCAGGGCCCGAAGTGTATGTGTGCCAAGTTTGGTCCGGATCGGTTAAGAAATGGAATTTTCTATTCGGAACATACGGCGGAGCCGGGTAAGCCAGCTAGTATTGAATAATCAAAACGCGGTAGAACTCATCCATAAACTTGTTGATCAAACGTACGCAGAGTGTGCTCGTCTCTTTGTCAGAGGATGAATGATATATGTTGTATATGTTGTAGTATATGAAAAAAAACCAGTAGTCGCAGAAGCGGTATTGCTTGCGTCCTCAAATGAACTATAGTACTTCCTTATATGAATCCTCTAGTCACAATCCTCAGTTATGGCGTAAAAACACATCCACTACTCGTCGCAGTATTAGAATAGCTGGTCTCGAAGGTGCTATTGGCCTTGGAGGTACTTTAGAATATGTCATTTCTGGCACAATCCGAGAGCAAGCATCTATTCTAAACTTCGCCTCTTAGCTTGTTTTTATTTCTGGCACTAATACGGACTAACATTCACGGTATAGTGGACCTCTTAAGTAGTTCACGTGATCCTTTCTTGACACGTAAAAAGCTAAAACGCATTGATTAAGAGTTCACAGCATCAGCTCAAAATGTTCCTGTTTTCAATCCTACAAAAAAGCGGAGACACGGGGTCAGATAGGGGAGAGTGAAGGAGGAAAGGGCAGGTAGCCGGTATTCGGCACTCGCTGATTTCTCATATAATCGTTTTCGTAGGAAAATGTATAAGCAGAGCGACAGTACGTATGGCGTGATTACTATACGCTCAACTGCATCTATTCGGTACTTGCAGCCGACGTGGAGCAAACATGATGATACCTATGGACAGAAGCGAACTCAAGCTCAACGCAATGTACAACAAAAGTTTTGTTTTGCGATTTGCAGTAGATTGTTTGCAGTTAACGCAAAATAAATGTCTTGTCTCTTCATTCTTCTATCTTCTATCTGCAAACTAGGGGTGAGAGGGAGGGGGTAAAGAACGGGGTTGAGGGTCGCGCTGAACTCTTATCCGGGGGGTGGGGGGGGGTCGTATTCGGCGGTTGTATGCCACACCGTTTGCTCGACGCTGGGCTAGAGCTAATTTGGGTGGGGTTTAGAGACATAATTGGGGTTTGGAGCTTAATTAGGGCTACAGTATGCCGCGGCAGACTTCCGGAGCACAAAATAGGGAGACTCCGGAGTCCAAAATGGGAGGGCTCCGGAGCACAAAATGGGAGGTCTCTGCAGCACAAAGTGGGAGGACTCCGGAGCATAAATGGGGGGGGGGGGTCTCCGGAGCACAAAACGGGAGGGCTCTGGAGCACGAGTGGCAATCCCCCGCTGGGGAAACCCCGCGGCTCTGCCATTTCTGCTCCGGAGGTATGCCGTCGACTGTCTGAGATGCTCCGATCCAACATTAGTAGACTACAAAACGTAGTGTCTGACCATTGTAAATTGACAAAACGTTGTATCTTCTGTATATTCAAAATACGCTTAGAATGAAATCTGAACTTTTAAAAGATTGTCATTTTGCTTGGCGAGAACTCTGCTCACCCTTTGATTTTGTAGAACCATAATGGGTACATGAGAAGATGGGCAGGTTTACGTGGGAATGATGGACCTAACAATGCAAAAATTTTGTAGCCGGTTTATGTTCTAAGAGCATGAAAATGAATTTCGTTATTTCACCAGTTCGTCACCTCTGCCGCGCTCGTTCTACTATTTATATGTCCTACTCATCCTCGCCTAGAAATTACATTGAAACTCTACCCCGCATTAGCGACTATCACGAATAAAATGTAAACAACTATTCGTTCTAAAAGCTTTTCCATGTAAGATCGGTGGTTTTGCTCGGATAAAACTCTCCGCAAAAGAAAAATAAATGCAAACTTGATCAAATTCTTGAAATCTTTTATGGCTTGGTAGTCGCTATAAGGACAGTAATCACCTATATCTTCGTGCAAGAATCAACTCAAATGCTCAAGTAAAACCTTTAGTCAGGTAAGTTAATTACTTACCTAACTAAATCTTTTGGCCTGGTTTTCGTACAGTAGCAGATTTTCGATCACTTTATTAGACTAAAGTCCGTGTCTTGCACGCTTACATGCCAAACACATCCACACTTTGCAAAAAGTGGTAATACGGATCCATTTTTGCGGCCTAAAAGGCAAGTGGAGTCCGGCGCGCAATTACTGAGGGGTCTACCCACCAACGCTCTGCTCGTGCTTTTGCGTGGTGAACTTTCATAGCGGTTGCATGCGCTATGCAAAATTTGGGCTCAGGACGTTGGCTGGAACGCGCGTACGAATTTTGTAACACACACACACACACACACACACACACACACACACACACACACACACACACACACACACACACACACACACACACACACACACACACACACACACACACACACACACACACACACACACACACACACACACACACACACACACACACACACACACACACACACACACACACACACACACACACACACACACACACACACACACACACACACACACACACACACACACACACACACATAGACACACACACACACACACATAGACACACACACACACACACACACACACACACACACACATAGACACACACACACACACACACACACATAGACACACACACACACACACACACACACACACACACACACACACACACACACACACACACACACACACACACACACACACACACACACATAGACACACACACACACACACATAGACACACACATAGACACACACACACACACAAAGTCATGCAGGCATTCTTCTGTTATTTGAGTAATGGTACACAATCTACCAACTTTGCATAAATCAAAATGACATCAAGATGTTGAGTGGATTGCTTGGGGAGCGAGGCGTTTGAAAATTACTTTAACGTTCCCAAGGCTAAATTTTTAACAAAACAACATAAGCTGTCCATTGTAACACTTTAGGTAAGAGTGAGCGACACAGAGGAAAGAACTCTTGACAGTAGCACGAATCCATTTTCTTAATCTGCAGAAGATATAGTCTGAAGGCAGCGTTCACCCCAAATCTCGCCTTCTATGCTTTGAGTGTTGTCGAATCTTTCCATGGCGCTGGTTTTGATTGTGAGGTTCAAATTACCAGAAAGCTCCAAAATTGCCTCTCTTTAAAGCCCTATTTTGGCAGACGTTGACGATGCTCCAACATTAGTCACGCCTATGCTACGAAACCTCGTCGATGCAACAGTGCCACATCACAAATATGCATCCAGACGTTGCTTGTCTTGTCAAAACACGGGGTGATTCGTGGGTGGGCGGAGCGCAAAAAAGGGCGGAGCGCAAAAAGTATTTAGGTCCGCTATCTCCTTTTGTAAGAGACCGGATCAATGAGGTGGGTCTACTTTTAGGGCTTCTAGTGGGAAAAGTAGTGATTTGGGGTGAATAGATTTTAGACAGACACTGCCTTTAACGATCTTCAGCAGGCAATCAATGTGTTCAGTTTTGTATTGAAATCTTCAATTTTGGACGTGAATCTTTCAGATGCTGTCAACTTGTGGCCTCACTTGCTTTGAAGAATGATTTTACAATGACACGCGCAACTCGACCTTAACGCTAGGAAGGGTTCGGTGAGGCGACAAATACAAACGCGTCGTTGTAGAGCATCTGTCCATAATCTTGTGGGTAGGAAACAGTTTTTGTTAACAAACGTAATTCTTTGTAATAAAAATGATCGTTAGAATATTTCTCAATTCTTTGCGCGTAAGGGGAAGAATTTAAGAGCCTAATAGGGTTCATATTATGTCACTAGGAATTTGATAATTATTTCTAAAATTTGACAAGTGATAGCTAGCTAGTCTGTCATTACTTAAAGAGTGGGTTGGCAGTAAGTGCAGAGCATATACTCTTCATTTTATGACAAATTAATTTTTTGAATGTGTATCATAAAAGTGCTATCTTCTTTCCTCATCTGCCTTTCGTTGCCCCATAATATATGAATGATAACGGGTGAGTTGAAAGTCCAAGTACATTCAATCACGTCATGCACCCTTATTCGCCTTCGGGAATGTACAGTCATTGCCACGGGGAGGTTTGTTGTGTTAATGTGAATGTATAGCTTAAGTTTGAGCAAAGCAAGCCCTTTGGATCAACACTTCACACGTATATGCTGACGATAGGATGCGTAATATTAACAGTATGCCTTGCTTAAAACGGCATATCACACGGGCAAAGGATGGCATTACTCCAAGATCTTTTCGTCAAAGTGGCACATCTTTAATTTTGTTTGAAAAGATCCCAAAGCTCGGTATTACAGCTGTACTGCCCAATGTTAAGTAATCTTGCAGATAACTGGGAGCGAATGAGAGCCCAGATGACTTTCTCTTGACATTTTCTAGAAGTGTCTCTTTTTTTCAGTACTTCATCGTGTTGTGACTGGAAGATTGCTAGAAGGCTGCAAATGGTATTGGAACATTAACTCCCACTAATTTGCAACCAGTCTACTGCTTGTAAAGCGCCGGGCAGTCGCGACGCAATTTGGCAATATTCCAATTGTCCATAACTCACTGTAAGCACATTTTAAATGTACAGAAGATAGAGCATTTTATCATTCCACGCAAGTGATAAACACCATACATGTGCACTTTGCTAGTGTTGGATCTGAAACTTCTGGCGGACTGCCAAATGGCGTCGCGACTGAAATCGCATGAAGTATGCCCGGCCCTTAAGCAAACCAGCATAGACTTACAAATAACTGAACGTTGAAGGTAAACCTCTCACCTGAAACAAATCCGCTTTTGCGAGTTGAAGCAAAACGCATAAATACAAGGAAAATCTTATGAGCATCGCCAACAAGTGAGTCAACATTATGGATGTCTGCTTTATAGCGGTAATTTTGAGTTTCATTGTGTTACAAAAACAACTTGAACATAATTCAGTTCTTATCGCCATTGCCTCGAGTTTTGAAAGCGTAGGTGTTAGTTTGTAATGCTGGTTTATTATTCACAGCTTATCAGTCTTATCACTGATCTTTCGAGTCACGCTGTTAGAAGACGTTTCTATGAACTACAAAGCGACTAAGCGAGCCTAACTTTACTTCCGGAAAGAGAGCGTGGAATTTTTTTGAGTGCACCGTGGTGATAATGTGTGGGGTCGTAGTCCAAAGTCCTGCTACCTCGCTTATCACCACGATAGAGTGAGACAGACAGTGAAGAGCAAGATAAGAGTTTGCACTTTGTCCTTCCCTATGAAATAGATGAAGTTATTTTTACAAATTTTTTCCAGTTGTCTATAATGTCTGACTTTCTTCTCATACAATTGTTACTTTTCATCAGAGAATTTAGAAAAAATGTAGCTTTTCAAGAAATATTAAGGCAGTGCAAAAACTTTTTTTTGAATCCGTTCGAAACACTGAAGATAAACGAATACTTGACACGGTGAAGATAATCGAATACTTCGAGCAGTATATGATGCAGGATTTCTTAACTTTTCAGCAACAATACTCCGGATATAGTCGTCGAAGCTTGCAACTTTATTTTTAGTCAGTGTCGCTAAACTTTTGAAAGTTTTAGCAGTAATATCCGGCAGATAGAACAAACCATTTGCAGTTGAATTGAATTTTCTCAATTTTTTTTCAGTTTCCTCTTTGGGATTTTGTCAAATAATTTTCTGGCCTTGAGTTTGAAACAATCACATAACAATCGTGACATACGCACTCAAATTTGAGTACGTGAATGTTTTCTTAGCTCACCTTTCTTCAAACATAAATCTGGTAAAGTAATCTACCTGCATGTTTTGGCCCAGCATTATGCCAAAGACGTCTTATATGTCCGAATTTTCACTTTACATGCATGATTCCTTCTGCGACTTGAAATAAAGCGCCCGTTTGTCTTTTTTGTGCGTGTGTGTGTACGTCTGTCTTTCACAAAATTCATAGAGTTGCAGCCAATTTCTCGAGCTTCAATTTTGCACAACATGCGGTACCAGCATATAGGTCCACTATGCAAGGACGAACCGGCTCGATGTGGATTCACAAATTTTGAGCGTGAAAAGGATCCACGTTGAAACGCAAAGCTAGTTTATTTATTTATTTATTTATTTATTTATTTATTTATATGCACTCCCACGGATCTCCCTCATAGAGGGATCACAGCCGGTTAGTCGCGAGGCTACGTGGGGCGTCCCCAGGTGGCGGATAGGGGGATAATCGCCGACCAAAAGCGACCCCGCGCCTGCTCTGATAAGCGAGCGGAGCCGGGGGACGGTCTCCCTGCCTCCACTAAAAGCTTGCGTCCTAATTTCCCGGGTAGGTGTGTGGGGAGGCGAGTTCGGAGTCGCCTCCAACAAATAAGCTCCGATCGTCCCTCGCGGGGGTTTCGAGCCCAACAAGCTATCCCTGCGAGTAAATTCTTGTTCGACACAGTGATAATATGGAAAGCTCCTTTAATCTTGGAAGAGCCACTGGTAAGGCAGCGCCAGTGGGGACAAGGTTTGAAAGGCGATCTAGGCTGCCGAAAACGAGACGGACTATGATGACGATCTGTACTTACAATGCGAGGACGCTGGCATCGGACGCATCTATCGAAGATCTCATGATGCAAGCAAGGAAGATTAAGTACGACGTCATCGGACTGACCGAGACAAGGAGGCACCACCCGCTGAACGCCACATTTGAGACTGGAGAAGAACTGTTTCTAAGAACATGCGACAGTGTCGACGAGTAGGTGGAGTGGGAGTCCTTGTCAACACGAGTTTGGCCATGAACATCGATTCGTTCGAACAACTTACAACTCGAATCGGACGTTTGCGAATATCAAGATGTGGATCAATCCCTGCCTTGACCGTCTTCATTGCGTACGCCCCAACATCCAGCTACGACGAGGGCGAACTCGAGGAATTTTATATGGACTTGGAGAAGTTCTACAGAGAAGATCATACCTTCTACAAGATCATCGTCGGTGATTTCAACGCGAAGATCGGAACTAGAAGGTCGACTGAGGAACTTCACATCGGAACCCATGGTTTGCAGTGGAACGAGAGCAAGGGGAGAGACTGTCCGAGTTTATCATGACGACGAGGACTATCCATGGAAACTCACAGTTCCAAAAGCCCTCTTCCCTACGCTGGACCTGGGAATCGCCCGGTGGAGAGTACCATAACGAGATTGACCACATCATCGTCAACAGAAGGTACTGCCTGACGGACGTCGCTGTTGTTCCGAAGTTCTACACGGGATCAGACCATCGTCTCCTGCGCGCCAAATTCTACTTTCCGCGGAATGGAGAGAGAGCCGTCAAGTTCAGGAAACATCGTCCCATGAATACCACCAACTGGGATCTGTTTTCTTCGATATCCGGCTCATGGCGAGATACCGTGATGGACAACATCGACGAAAAATACGAACGGTTCGTACAACATCTCCACGGTTGTGCCAAGGAAGCTCAGAGTCTAAGAAGTACGAGAAGGCGTTTCACCACGGGGACTTTGGAGCTGATACGCCAACGTGGACGCGCACGAGACACAGGCAACTACCGACTGACGTCCGAGCTTGCGAAGCGATGCAGAGAAGCGATAAAAGAAGACCTTAAGGAGAGAAGAGTAGCAGTGATGGTTGACGCCGCGGAGGCTGGAAGAAGTATACGCAACGCCCGCCGAAGCTTAGTCAACTTCAAGACAAAGATGACCGCACTTCGTCGTCCTGACGGAACCATAACTGCTTCCCGAAGATCAATGGAGAAGGTCATCCACGACTTCTACTCGGATCTTTTTGCGAGCCACGTCCACCTTCCACCATGCCATCTCAAGGAAGACGAGTATGTCGCACCGTCTGTTCTTCCTTCCGAGATTCGTCATGCTATCATGTCGATGAAAAACCGTACAGCACCCGGTCCCGACAGGATTAAGCCAGAACATCTGAAGAATCTTTCGCCAGTTCTCATCAAGACTTTGGCAAGGCTCTTCACGCGGTACCTGACGGAAGGCAAGGTTCCAAGGCAATGGAAGACCAGCAAAACCGTGTTGCTGTACAAGAAGGGAGATCCCTGCGACATCGGCAATTATCGCCCTATCTGCTTGTTGTCTGTAGTCTACAAACTCTTTACGCGAGTCATTCTCAAGGATCGGAAGAGAGTTGGACGAAGGACAACCATGCGAGCAAGCTGGGTTTCGAAGAGGATTCAGCACGATCGACCACATACACACGGTGTCAAGGCTCATTGAAGTGTCACGAGAGTATAAGATGCCGCTCTGTCTCACCTTCATCGACTTGAAGAAGGCCTTTAACTCGGTTGAGACTGAAGCCGTCATCGATGCCTTGAGCAATCAAGGTATTCCGACTCATTACATCAAGATAATTCGTGAGCTGTATAACGACTTCACAACCACCATAACACTATTCTACAAGGACATCATCATTGACGTGAAGAGAGGCGTGCGACAAGGCGATACTATATCGCCGAAACTATTCAGTGCCGCTCTGGAGAACGTCATGCGTAAGTTGGAATGGGACAACATGGGAGTGAAAGTCGACGGCCGGCAGCTACACTACCTTCGCTTTGCTGATGACATCGTATTGATAACACCAAGCATCACGCAGGCAAAACAAATGCTGGCCCAGTTTGACGAAGTGTGTGGAAAGATCGGTCTACGGCTGAATCTAACGAAGACGATGTTCATGAGGAACGGAAGAGTGCCTGATGCTCCTTTCATGCTCAACGGGACGAACATCACCGAATGCTCAAGCTACACCTACCTAGGTCGTGAACTCAATATGATGAACGATCTAGCTCCGGAATTGAGCAGGAGGAAACGTGCAGCATGGGGAGCATATAAGACAATTGAGGACGTAGTGAAGAAGACCAAGAACATCCGGCTCCGCGCCCAACTTTTCAACTCGACGGTTCTTCCTGCTTTGACGTACGCTTCAGAAACATGGACAATGAGAAAGCAGGATGAACACGCGGTTAGCGTCATCGAACGAGCTGTTGAGAGAGTGATGCTAGGAGTGAATCGACTCACGCAAGTGAGGCAAGGATTACGAAGTTCTACCCTACGTCAACGATCGAAGATCAGGGACGCTGCCGCGTACGCCAAGCAGAACAAGATAAGATGGGCCGGGCACGTAATGCGTTTCGACGACAACCGGTGGACGAGAACTGTAACAGATTGGATACCACTGGACGTCAAGCGCGAACGAGGAAGACCGCCGACGCAATGGTCAGATATGTTCACGAAGTCCTTTAATGAAGTCCTTCAGAGCGTTCCACGTGTTCCTGGTGCGATACGTAAACATTGGTCAACAATCGCCCGAGACAGGGACGAATGGAGGCATCACTGGTACCCGCTCGTGCAACACGATGATCAACGGGGATACAGGTGATACAGGTGATATGCACTTAAGGTGCGCCATTAAAAAGAACACAGAAATTCAAACACAATTCTAACCAGTCACACAGTACATTCTAGTAGAACTTTGGCCAGACCTCTACAGGTATTAAGAATATAAAAAAGGCCAAGGCAAAAGAAATCACATTGAATAGCGTGATGTAGTAACATGATTCGTCTAATATTCTTAGCTGAATGCATAGGAGCGCCAACAATTTATCGTTAACAATATTACTCAATGCAAATTGCTAGATAAGGTATCACTTTTAAAAATTCAATTTTTTTCTGGGAAAGCTTTGATCTTAGGCATTTAGTTGGCTAATTCGACTTTTTGTAAAATCATACAACATTTCCCTGACAATCAACAATCATTTTTCTGACAAGTAAATCAGTGAGCTATAAATTCTAGCTTAGAAAAATGCTCAAGAAGTCTGTCTTTCTACGAAAACAGGGCAAAAAGTTATCGCGCAGATAGTCAATTTGCAAAGTTTTACCGAAAAATTGAAAAAATTTTTTGCATAGAAATGTAGGTCAAGGTAATTATTATCCTAGTGGTAACTATTAAGCCGAAATAAATTCGATGACGATTCAAATTCGCATTTGTTCCTCTGCAGAAAGGTTTTTCCTCTTAACAATACAGACCTTACATGGAGAAGCTTCAAGAACGAGCTATTGTTTACAATTTATTTGTGATGTTCAGCATTGCGCGATGAGTTTCAAAATCATCATTATGTGAAGAATAACAAAGCATACAGACAGCAGATCCAGTGCGAAATTCTGCGAAGCACAGGTGACGCAGTAACTCAGACAATTCACAGGAGCTTCCCGAAAACAAGCCATTTTGCAGACTTCCCGAAGAACTCATTTAACACAGGTGAATGGAAGCGCGAAAATGGGAGTTTCCCGAAAACTTTGACGTCAGGAGCAACGCAATTAGGAACTTCCCGAGGATTTCCTCGGGAAGTATCTATAAATGCAAAACTTTCCGAAAGCTTTCAAGGAAAGGGAATTTTCCGAGAACTTCGCGGTATTTCGTAATAGCGCTACGTTTATTCTAATGACTGAAGTGTCCTAAAAAGTCACAGAGTCTTCATCAAACTTATGTAATGGTCAGTGCGATATCTGATTTAGCGCGAGTGGGGTACTGTAGTGTTTCTTTTCTATCGTCCTCTCGTTTTATTCTGTAAATCGACTGACTTCTTTTCATGTGGCATTACTCAAATGTATTTGCATCACTTATCGCTAAGGGTAAAGTGACCTCTTGCTTGTTACTTTGCACATCATAATTACCGTCCTCTGTCGCAGTGCGAGGTGTGAAGCTATGACCCAGAGCCAAAACAAGCAAATAGATGATCGAATTACCTTAATACATATATGTGCGACCATCTATTGTACAGCTCTTTGCGAGTGCGGCTGTTATGATCCACCATGTAATAAGGAAATGACTCCCTTTGACTTTACATTTACTCATGACTTTTACGTATTTCGAAATCCTTCTAAATGTGACTTTATGCTGTTTTGTATATAACGAGGAAAACATGAATTTAGGCAAGTCTTTTTCAGCGTCTGATTCTCCTTGCTTTCTTTTTTGTATTTCGTAACAGTGCACTTGCGCTATTTCTAGTCTGCTATTGCCAATATTGCTAGTCTGTCAATTTGTTATAGATGGTGAAAGTTTAGCAATTCAAATTGTGTAAATAGGAGTGTTATCTTAGGTAGTATTTAGGCTCTGGTTCCTAGTTGAGTGCTTGTAATTTTGATCTTTTCTCCTCCTACTAGTGAAGCAGTTATGTGAAGGTGCTATATGTGCGTGCGCTTCGGGACCGCACCGCGGTTTCCCGCGATTTGATGATTTTTAAACTGCGCTTACGATTCTTTGTATATTAGATTATATTTATATTAAATTAGCGCTTAGCCTCGGCAACGAGGATTTAGGGGGATACAGATTGAATGCGATAAGAAGCTTGCGCACTAGGTGCGTTGGTGTTTCGTAAGCAGTCTTTACCTACCCAAATGATTTAGCTTCTGAATCTCCTTGGGTACATCCGATGAAGAACGCGAGAAAAAATTCAACTATCTGCTGGTGCAAAAAACTTTCTACTGCGGCCAAATCAGGACCTGTATCGCAGAAGCACTGTAAGTTTTCCAGAATCGTCTTAACCTCTAAATTCACTTTCACAGCGAGGGTCCGTTATTATCGCCTCAACCAAGGAAAACTCTTGTGCCTTCAAAGGTTCGAACTTAGTCTCAGTTGTTTTTATACTAAAAATTTGTTTTCCAGAAATACAAGGCTACGCAGGTCGGATTTGGTAGAGAGGACAAGGCAAGTATGACGAAGTCAGAATGGAAGAGGAAAGCGCTACACAGTAGCGGAATTTGATCCTGTCGCTGTCCTGTTTGATCCTGATGCTTAATTTCTGATCCATCATAAGTCTTCTCATGTAAGGTCGTGCCTTTGCCTCATTAGTTAAGCATTTTTTCTCAATAATCACTGCTTCATTTACTTAGTCCCCGCTTAGCTTTATATTCAGTACATGCTTACTTCATATCTCACTGTCAATAGGATACTCCTTACGCATTACTCGGGCACTATTGTGATTCGATCTTTTAAGAACTTGAAGAAATCCTCCCATTCCCATCCGTCGATATGTTATATCTACTGCTATAACAATAAATGATGGAGCATATCTGTTTTTGCGTATAACTACTACTAGTGATCCACCCTTACTACTACACTACTTTGAGTAGCTGTACTAAGGGTGCGGCTTTATGAAGTAGCAGGAATCATCATCAAGGTTCGGTACAGCTACGCAGAGCCAATCCGAAGCCCTCAGGAAGTTCTACAGATAAGTTCTCGGGAGATTTCCCACTTCTTGCGAACTTCCCGAGGACTTTTTTGCAAACTTCCCGAGCGCTTCACGGGAACTTCCGCAGGTGACCCGAGGACCTCGGGAAGTTCCCATGGGTTGTCTGAGAATGTAAAATAAAGGCTTATAGCTTCGTGCAACGACTTATGGCAGATTGAAGTAATTTTGGAGTTTATCGTAATGCGAGTTCTTTCAACAGCCACATCAGTTCTGACCATTCTTTTGTGAGCTAGTTGCCATCTTTACTTCTCAAACTGATAACTTTATTATTAGATTTTGATAATTTTTTCAAGTCTTCCTGTTTTGCTTCTTTCTTCAAAATTTTCACTGGTGCTGGTTTTTGGATAGTTACCAATCGAAAAGAAAGGTTTCGTTTCCCTCCAACATTGAACGCAGCCTTGCTTAGCCTTGGCGCCTTATGTTTCTGCTGATGTCATGCAATTTGTTTGAATCTCTTTAGCACTTCCACATCACGGGCATCGATGATAAATGTAAGTGCTTCATAAAAACAAAAGCTGCCTTCAAGACTCGTTATTGTCGAAGAGTTTCAAAATTCGAACTACGGATAACATATGGCTTATAATGAGGTGCTAAGCGTATGTGTGTTGTGTGTGTGCATATCTATCTGTCACGAGATCCATAGAGCGGGTTGCAGATGATGTCTCGAGCTACAATCTTCAATTTCTATTAGTTAAACTTAAGACAATACAATACTTGCACAACATGCGACACCTGCATGAGTGCGACACCTGCACTATCTACGGACAAGCCAGCTCGATATGCGATCCTTCAAAATTGAGCGTCAAACGGTTCCAAGCGTGTTTTGCCCACAGAATTGGTACGGTAATCAGACTTTTTGCAAAGTGATGAATTCGTTTGGAAAGACAATCCGCAAGCTAATGAGCTCAAAAACTGATCAATAAGTTAGTGAACTTTAAGTCCTCTCTTCTCTGAATCTGGGCATTGGTGTCCAAGTTGAATGTGTAGAGTAAAAAAAAAACTTCTCGGCAAAACACTCTACACGATCAATAAGTTATTTCTTCGCAAAAACAGCGCCAAAAAGGAATGATCGCTTAGATCGTCAATTTATCAGGACTTGAATCAAATAAATGAGAGATTTACTGCTTACAAGGAAACGATATCTGGTGTCCTGGCCTTTTTAGATGAGATGTATACCATTACTCTCATCTTGGAGCGCTGATTTAAATCTGACTTCCGCTTCTGCTAATCGTTTCTCTAAAAGAAGTTATGAAGGATTTTTGCGCCAAAGAGACATGGTCGCAATGCCAGAACAGCCGCTAAGATGTCATGTAAAGGCGAGTGAGATAGCCTTGCAAGTTAATTTAAATTTAGGTTCGAGTCTTTTTATGTTTTTCAGTTTTTCATTGCCTTAATCAAGCTCTTTTTGAAAGTTAGGCATCCTCGGTCGCATTTCTCTTAGGCGACCATTGACGCGAAAATCCTTCATAACTTCTTTCAGAGAAACGATTAGCAGAAAAGGAAGTCGGATTCGGAATCAGCGCTCCAAAACGAATGTGATGGTTACGTTTCATTTCAAAAGGCCACGGACACCAAGTATCGTTCCCTTGTTAGAAATGCAGCCCACACTGGCTATCGTTCTTATGGCAAGTATCAAACCGAAATAAGTTTGGTGACTGATTCATATTTACATTTGTTCTTTTGCAAAATAGTTGCTTTTCTCCAAGTTACCGATCTTAAACAAGCTCAGGCGATGAGTATAAGTTGTTTAGGATTCATTCGCGATAGTCAGCATTTTACGGCAAGTAAAGCGATCATGATGCGAGAATTAGCAGAGGTAGATAGTAGGGCCAGCGGGGTCAGTGCGTACCGCTCCGCAGAGATGATATCATATAGGATTGCAATTTTATACTGAAAACGATGTACACCACCAGAGACTACTTTGATACAGACGAGCGAGACAAAGTTCTGCAAGTTGATGGAATCCTACCCTGAGCCTGGAAATCACGAAGATGTGACTTATTCATGAGATTATTAGCCTAAGATTACAACATGTAATTTTTGTATCAGTACCATTTTTGACTAAAAAAGAACAAACAAAGGATATGTCGGATGGGCGTGATCCGACTCAAAAGAAAATTGGTAAATTTTCTGCAATTTGAGCACATACTATAGGGCTTATCAAACGCAGTTTCGCTTGCATCAGCAACTTCACTCCCGCGCTGCACCCTGCGTCTCTTCCGCGGAATTGCTCTCTGATCACTTTCCCAAGCCAAGCATGGGAAAGGCGGAGCCTCATTCGATTGGAACTGATTAGGCTGTTCGCGGAAGAGACGTAGAGTCGAGTGGAGACGCTGATGCAAGCGACATTGCGTTTGATAAGCTCTGTAAATCTTATTTCTCTGAATGCTTAGGTACTCAATATAAAAGTGTTTTAGTTAAAACTTTCCAAAAAAAACTTATAGAATGCTGAGGGGCATTCAACGGTAATTTTAAATTGTTTCCGAGCATCATTGTAAGCCCCTTATGGGTGATTTTTAGCGCAGTAAGCAGGTAGGTAAAATTAAATATGACGGTCTTTTCAATGCAAATGTGACTTCACTCAAAACATAGCCATTTGAGCAATTCCGAAGAACTCAGTCTGATCGCGCGAATAAGAACGCTCAAAATTAGCGTCTGGAGGAGCTCGGCAAATAATAAAAATGGAATTTCAGTCAACCCGATGCTCTTCAAGAATCGAAACTTAATCGGAGGGGCCACTTCGATCAAAAACATGTTCCTTGCCAGATTGTGAGGCGCAGTCAAAACCCGAACACCAAATTTCAAAGTATACTATCAAATGACATAAGCTCAACAGTTGGCAAACCATCTATAGGCAGTGAAACGGCGACAGCCACGTGCAGTGCCAGTCTCTCATACAACGCTGGCCATGATTTTAAAGTCACTCTAGGAATCGTCGTAATTTTCGTTCTCGTCAATGAATCTGTCTGAAACTTTGCTGTATTGTGCATTTTCAACCTTCCATGGTCCCTCAAAACGGCTTCCAGTCTTGTTCAGTTTGAACAGAGAACGAAAAAACTTGAAAAAGCCCTTAAAGGCAGCGTACACCCAAAATTTGAGTTACCGAATTTCTAGATCTTTCTACACCGTGTATATACTGGGCCCAGAAGAAGACCAACTGCGTTGGTCCGGTCTCCCAATGTTGCTTCTGAGCGGAGAAAACCCCCCTCAATTTTCTTTCACGCCGCCCCTTTTCTTTCGCTCCGCCTCCTCCGGACGAATCCATAACAGCGTAAGCTGCAATTGCAGTTGCAGTTGCTGTTGCAACATCTGTTGCATTTGTTTTGATTGTACGCTGCCTTTAAAGGCAGTAGATCGGCAGAATGAGACCCGTGACAAAACAAGGTCACAGGGTAGGAGCCCTCATATGGAACCCATCGGCCAAAGTCCGATCTTTCTCTGCCACTTCTAACCCCGAAATTTCAACGCGAAAGCTTAAAAAAATTTGAAAGTAAACGAATGCGATAGTGATTAGAAAAACCAGGTGGCTTTAAAATTTTGTCCAGCTTTCATTAAGGGCTTTTTCAAGTTTTTTCGTTTTTCTCTGTTCAAACTCAACAAGACTGGAAGCCGTTTTGAGGAGCCATGGTAGATTGACATGTGCACAATACAGCAAAGTTTTAGACAAATTCTGACAAGAACGAAACTTACGACGATTTCTAGAGTGGCTTTACAATCATGGCCAGCATTGTACAACTTGATATTGTGCCCAAATCATTTAGCGTTTTACTTTCTTTATGTTTCTTTTGTGAACTGTGTACCCTTTCGCTCCATCACTTCTCTGCTTGTCCCAAAATTTGAAACCGAAGAATGGGAAGATCACCTTATGCCACACGTCAAGATTTACACCGAGCGAGACGCGGTTTGCCGCGCATGCCGCGCTCATATTTTGTGCAATGTCGCGCGACAACATTTTGCAGAAATTTCGCGCACACTACGGGCAACCGTTCTCTTATTTTCACTCAACACTTGTAGTTCTTGAAGGTCATTGAAACAATGGTAAACTAACATATTAGGGCAGTGAAACCACAAAATAAGTATGGTGAGTGTATATACACAGGGAAAAGTGCGAAAAATGTCAACTGCACAGCTGAAGAAGTAAACAACGTAACTGATTGACTCCGAGAGGGGCAGCATCTTAGGAGAGCGTGATACATGCTCTACATTGTAAAATTATTTCATTGAAAATATTTGAATTTAGTCTTGCTCACTCTTTTATAACACTATAAAAATTTTCTGGAATTTCTGATCGAAGCTGCTGCTCTATGTTCCCTTCGAGCACTGCGCCGCCACTTGGGCCAAATTCTGCAAGTTGTTCCATCTGTGTTTGCTGCTCTATGTTTCCTTCGAGCATTGCACCGCCACTTGGGCCAGCTTCTGCAAGTTGTTCCATCTGCGATTGCTGCTCCATGTTTCCTTCGAGCCCTGTGCCGCGACTTAGGCCTGCTTCTAAAAGTTGTTCCATCTGCGTTTGCTGCTCTATGTTTCCTTCGAGCACTGCACCGCCACTTGAGCCAGCTTCTGCAAGTTGTTCCATCTGCGTTTGCTGCTCTATGTTTCCTTCGAGCATTGCACCGCCACTTGGGCCAGCTTCTGCAAGTTGTTCCATCTGCGATTGCTGCTCCATGTTTCCTTCGAGCCCTGCGCCGCGACTTAGGCCTGCTTCTAAAAGTTGTTCCATCTGCGTTGTTTTCTCAAATGTCGATTCAGTTGCTCCATCAACTGCTTTCTTCTCGGGAAGTGCAGCTGCTCCGGAATCGGAGCCTTTCTTTTTAGTAACTGGTTCAGCCGTCGTTAGGTCAACTCCTCCTTTGCTAGTTCCTTCTTCTACGGGTTTGACCGTAGCTGGTTTCCGTGGTACTAGACCATCGGTCAGCATTTTTTCTAACTTCACGACTGGTATTTCGAATAAGCAGCTCCAGAAGAATGAAAATACGTAGGAAACAACAACGTTAGGAATAAGCACATATATGTACTGCAAAAATATAATTGATTGATGAGATCATAATTTGTAAATAGCTTACCATACGCCATAGGGAAGTGAAGTGAGTGGGCCGATCGTCTAAATCATGAATGTAACGAGCAATAAAATAGTGGGTAATATAGCCGCAGTACGAAAGTTTGCCTAATGGTTGCCATGCGGGATGGTCCATAAATTTAGCTATCATTCCTAAAATGGGAGTCGTTATTTTTAAAAAATTTCCTGCAGCTTACCTCCCCATTCCCAATGATTTGCTGCAATGACCCAACATACTGCCAATGCCCATCCAATTCGGGAAAAGTTATTGTATGTAGCTCGAACTATTACACTAAAATGCGTGGTAAAAGGCACTAAGATTCTAAGAAAATCATGATGCGCAACACGATATACACTGCTATGTTTAGCGCTCCTTTCACTAGCCTAGGGAATGTAAGGAATGTTTACTTCCAGTCATCATCTCCGGTTAAGTAGCGATGAGATCCGTAAACACATGCCAGAGCAACTGCAGTTGCCAACAACCAGATTGGTATTACAAGGCGCTGAAAACAAACGTGAGCATACAACACCAAAGTTTTAAGAGACGCACTTTTATCAACTTTGGCTTCTTTCCCAATGCTAGCACGTAACCTGTTAAGAATCCAATCAAAAAAGGAGTACACCGTGTCCACGGCTTCTCATAATGTAACGTGAAGAAGTCCATCATAGCGCTGCATTAATTATTACACCTTTCACAGAAAAACATTTTAATGTGCTTACTTGGCTTGGGGAATCCCCATAGCACCAGGTAGCGATTTTTGTATGGTAATGGCATACACATAACCAACGCTGCCAGCGATGCATGCAACAACAAGCAAGAATCCTAAATCTAATATGTTTGAAGCAAAATTAAAGATTATACTATTTACCAGCGAATTGAGAAATGACAAAAACGATAAGAAAAACTGGAGCGACGAAGTAAAGTTGAGTGTCAACGGCCAGATACCACGTTACTGCGTAACAGTTCTGTAAGGTTTTAGTTGGGTCATATTAAGAGCAGTAGATCCGTACCTCCTCAGGCGCGAAGAAGTTGTTGATGTAAAGCAGATTACGCCAAAAGTATTTTTTGCAGACTTCCGGTCCTTGATCAATAAGATCAACCTTTGATTGAGCCCATGGTCCATGAACGAAAGGATCCATGATTACATAGAAACCAATAAACATCATTATAGGCGGTGTCAGTCTGAAATAAGTCTAAAGGTTCCCAAAGCAATCTTTTATCGGTTCTTTTTCTAACTGATATGATACTTATTTGAATATAAGCTGAAAAGAACTACACGAGACATAGACTGTTTATAAGTACGTGAGTCCATCGCCTTCATAGTGCTGGCTTATGGATACTCATCAGTTGCCGACAGCTACTCTGCCGCTAGTTGGCATTTAACCAAGGTCAATTTTCTTCAAACTATTCAACATTTGGAAAATCTAATCTGCATGTTCATTTTAGTGGCGTAAACCAATGATTTGCTGCGAGTGTGTAATCAGCAAAGGAAATTATCTCCATGAACTACCAGAGAAAATGTTCTGGGTCAAAGTGACTTGAAATGAGATCAATGTCGTTATAAAAAGCTTTGAGTGCTGATTTCACATTTGTTCACTATCTGCCGAACGCCTCTGGACGCTGAGTCATGAGCGTTACTTGGAGCAAATAATGCGCGCAGGATCTTTGAAGTGACTGTTATTGTCGCTCCAGCCCTTAAGGTCTAAGGCATACCTTACAGGATTTTAGTCGCCACGCGATTTGGCACTGCACAACTCTCCATAGCTGGTCGTAAATGCAATTTGCTTGGGCCAGATTTGCTGTGTTTGTTACAATTTACGGAATCTACGCGTCCATGCATCCGAGAGCCTCGAATGCTTAATCTCTCGACGTCTGGCAAATTGCCAAGTCGCGAGGATTTCGCGATTTCGCGAAATCGCGAAAGGTATGCTTTAAGCCTAAAGAGAGCAGCGGTGAGCATAATTACATCAGACAAAGGCTTCTATTGCCCAAATTACCCTAAGATTCAACATTGAAGCACTTGAGCGACTATGGACCATTTTGTTCCAGTTGTGTATTCATTTTTCAACCTTAGTTATCGTCGTCTCCCCAGCGTACGTTGGGCGCAGCTTTTGCGGACATTTTAACACGTTGGTGAACTTGTTAACCCTCTACTGCAAGGCAATGTTTTATGTGATCTCTCGCTACCAACTCTGCCACGTGTGACAACAGCATATATACGTGGCAAATTAGAGAGTACAAAGAACCACACTGTGTTAGAATGTCCGAAAAAGCTCCGCCCAACGTACGCCGGGGAGACGACGATATGCTCATAACTTGGCGTAGGGCCTTCGGCAGTTTTTGAAAGCAAACTTGCAAGCGTTTAAAGCTCTACATGACAATATAGCAAACCTGTGGAGTGGCTTTTCGATACACATTTTTTCCAAGTTTGACTCTCATTCATAAGATGCAAAAACTTCAAATCAAAAGAGAAAATTGAAATGACTGGTGAAAGTTTTTCCGAAACAATAGACTCGTTGCAGCATTCCATTCAGCCTTTCAAAGCAAATCACGTTAAAAAAATCAATAGCCCATAAGAGCAATCTGGAGTGTAGTAATTTGATCGAAACCATCATGAAATGTGATGTTGTTTAATCATGGTTACGTAGTGGTAGCCATGATCATCATCTGCCGACATCCCAATTCATTCGGTCGTACAAAATCATGAAACAAGCAAGTAAGCAAGAGACTACCATGACTGTTCCATGAAAGGTCCATTTTGAACCAAACTGAGAAGAATCCACTAGATATTCGTTGTTTTGTTATCAGTTAACACGTTTCGGACCGCGAAATTGCGCGCGGCGAAAAAGAGTGTACTTTCAGCTGTTAGCCTACAAAGGGACCTTATTTCGCAGCCTGTGGGCCACATTTGTAATAAGCATGTCAGATAAGCTCCATATCCAAAGTTCTGAGTGAATTCGAAGTTTTAAATTTTGTCGCTTGAGAGGGACTTTTGTGCTTTCTTGAAAGATAGGAACAAGAACTCAGATTTTAATAGTATTCAAAAGTATCTATGTTGTACACGGCACACATCAGTATTGAAACTACGCTTTTTTCTCTTTGAAATCGAAGCAAAGGAAAGTTGCGACGTCGCACGCGTCGTTCGCGTCGCCGCACTTCGTTGCAACTGTTGTTCGATTTGTGCTCATATCTCCTAAACAAATATCGACGGCACAACTCTACAGAGTCATTTGAAAAGAAGGAGGTTAGACCTTTAACTTAACAACTCTAGACTAAAAGGAAACCTCCTGCAAACGCCAAAAAGATCCCTCAAAACAGCGTGCTGCGCCATGTGCAGCACCGGTCCGAAACGTGTTAAAGTAATGCAAATAACACTTCATTTTATGAGACGCAGACGTGAAACTGCTAGATCATTGTTTGAAATGAAAAAGTACCCCTGACCACTTTTTTATTTGAAACCATGATATGTTGTTTTCACAAGTTAGTAGGAGTGAAGGAGATCATTCTGAGAGTTACTATAAGAAAGTTCACTCAAAAGATTATGGGGAAATGCAAGGCTAAAGACTGCACTGCAAATTTGGTAAAGTGCAATGAAGTCGGTCAAGCATGAGAATGATTAGAGGTTTGATCTCCTCCAATGACGTCGCTTTGCTAAATTTAATGTAAAGTGAAAAATCGTGGGATTGGATTAGTCAAATCGTGATTTCAATGTAAAGCTTCTGGTTAGCTCGTATTATGAGAACGTAGCGAGGACTATGGTTTCAACCAAATCACTACCACCTCTGGTTTTTAGCAGAAGTAGTTTGTACAAGTTTCTTGTGTTCGTATCGTAATTTGCGTTCGAGGAATTTGAGATTATTTAGGCTATCAAGGCTCGGCATTTCACAGGCTGATGTTCTTTGATGGCTTATCAATGGATTTTTTCATGCTTGGTTTGAATGTGTTTATACTCGCTTACATATTACACAAGTGGCGAACATAGCTTAGCGAGCGTGGTCATGTTACTGCTAAATTGTGATATTCAATAATCTCCTCGATTGTTCTCTGTACATTTGTCTTCATCACTACCTCATAATTTACAGAGTCACAGTCCTTTCATAAACACCTCACCTCACACCAGCTCGACTCTTAAACCACTTTTGCTTGAATTTACGTTATTGATGCGTAATTATCATTGGTCGCGATATAGTTGTTGATTTGACCTCTATAATAAAGGTTTGATTACCCAAGTTTGAGCTACGCGCAGTGCACGAAAGTCCCGCGTGGCAACCTCAATCAACCTACAGCCTAGACAAAGAGCATTCAAGCTATATTTTTTCCCGTCCTAAAAATGTTCGCATTTTTGATTAATGTCCATAATCTTTTCTGCCACTAGGCCGATAACGAAAAACAACAATTTAAAAATCAACAATTTATGGAGTATACACGATTTTTTAACCAGTGTCAATGGGTTCAAATTCTATCAAACGTTTCATACTAGTCATGAATATACGTAAAAAAATTTTTTTGCACGAAGGCTCCTCGTTTCTGTATGAATGTGCAAGCTGGGATAATATCAAGAAGTTCTACGTTTAGGCGATAGATTAGGCTGCTTCGCTGCCTTCAATTCTTTCTTTTTGACGGGTGCTAAAAACAAGTACTGTAAAGACAGGCAAACGCTCTCACACTGCTCAACGCAGCTTTTCTTCGTCTCTGTAACAAGTATGCCACTAATGATCATCGACCGATCTATAATCCCCGATACCCGGACCATATTCGTAGTTGAGGGAGCGGGTTCCATGCCTGCCATGTGTCCAACTAAGGAGTCTCGCCTTACTCTTGATAAGACGTTGGTCACACCTAAGGCTGCGTTCATACTGATCCCGAAGTTCGGGAACAGTTCCAGCACAGCGCTCAGTGCTAGCGCTGTGCTGGGACTGTTCTCGAACTTTCAGATCAGTATGAACGCAGCCTAAGGTCACAATCTCATACTCTCGATTACAGTAATCCAATAATCTGGCATTCCTGTCTATTATCCCAGTGTAACATTGTATTCCGAAGCCAACAATCCTCGAAGAGTATACACCTGTTCAAAAACGGTCACTTATTGGTCAAATGTTTTGCCATGTTAAAAAATAGCAGTTTTTAAAGATTTCACTCTAAATGTAAAGGCTTTGTCATCGGATGGATAGAGTAAACAAAGGAGAAAGTCGTGCCATACAGGGACACATCAAACGAAAAAGTCTATCTTTCCGGTACAGCCATTGGCAATGGCATGTTCAAGACAAGGTTAATCCGCGAGAAATGCATGCTAAAGTAATTAAAAAAGGTACAAATCATAGTTTTAAACTTCTATACTTAGTTTAGCAGTCACGCCTCACGCCAGAGGAAGAAAAAGCTGAATACTCAAAAGTTCATCAAAAAGAAAAGGCTTTTTAAGAAAATGCCTTTTGTCCAGATAATGTGCTCATTTAGGATCATTACTTTCAATTCAGTGTCAGAGTTGAGGTAGGTCGGAGTTGCAAGCATGCTAAATTTTTTAAATTTTTGAACTTTCGGTCGCACGGAGTCGAGTATTTGCATTGTGACGACTCATGCGCGAGAACGCTAAGCGGAGTTTATTTGCAGCCGCGCGCTAGACGCGCTCGTGGGCTCAGCTGAAAATGATGCGGGCGATCCTTGCAGACAGTGGATTGACAAATGTGAACTTGGTACAATGAAGTCTCTCATCTATGTTTTCGGAGAAGAAAGTTTACTATTAGGTTGTCCGGAAATTAATGCAGGTTTTGCATATTCTCCTTCAGAGCGTCATAACTCCTTTGAAATCGTATATTTTGAAATGAGGTAAAAACTGTTGTGATCAGCAAGTCTTTTTCTACCTGCTACATTTTCTTTTTTAACTGGAGCTCCAACAAGCAAATTACTGAAAGCCAGAAAGTAAAAAGAAAATTCTGTGACAAGGTCATACTTGGCAAGTTGTAAACTCCTACCGAACATGAGTGTTCACAGAAACTTCTGCAGCTTATAGCCACAGACCAGTACTACGTATATAGCTATGCAGAAAATTTTTTGGAAATTTTCTGCGAAAGAAAAATTTGCGGAACCAAAATTTTCCATTTTTTCGATCCTATACCGCTGCGATCACCGATAATTTTGATTTTTTTATCAACTCACCAAAAATAAAGGCTGGGAGATACCAGTTGAGATATTATCTGACGGAACTGGCCTCACTTTTCAAGCACGAGGAGAAACTTTTACGGTTGCTTTTTTTAGAAAAGTTTTCTACGCCATGGAGTGGCCGCGACAATTATTCATGTTAAAGTCTCAGGTTCTTTACTCTCACAATTGTTCAAATGAAGCGCTACTATCTATTTTGTAGGTTCACTCAATATCTTGCTTCAGCTACATTCTTCATGGAAATACCCCTCTTGCCGAATAAGTTCAAGCCAAAGTGCAAAGGGTAGATTTAGCGATTTTAAGCTTCATCTTCGGATGGTTGTAGATTTTGAACAAATAAAGTTGGTCGTAGAAGTAATACATATAAGAGAGAGCATGAAGAGCGGCTTCTTTTAGTATGCGAAATTGGTTGAAAGATGCACATACACAGAAGAACTATACTTTTGAATTTGCATTTGCAGAAACCTGCAAACCCGGACAACCTAATACCTCGTTGTGAAATAAATATTCAGTTTTGATGAGATTTTCATAGGAAAAAAAGAACAATCGAACCTTATGTATTTCAAGGAATTCCAAAGTACTCACCTAAGCCAGCGATGCACATAAAACATTATCCAGAGCATTGGATTTTTGATGAATTTGATGGAGGGTTTGGACTTGAAGAATATGTAGGCTACGAGAAGACCAGATAACGTAAAGAAAGTATCAACTGACAAAACGCCATTTGTAATAGTGTTTGATAATGGTGGATCCCATACGTTCATTGTGATTTGGAGCCTGTCTGCAATACTATGTTTTACGTCATCCAATTTTCGTAAAAAGAAAAAGGTCAAATACCGTTGAAAGCTTCCTGCATCAAAACGTGACCGACTGCTACCCATGACATGGATATGAATCGAATAGATGCTAATGATTTGAGCGTTCCTTTTTTAGGTGGGCGAACGTCCATTAATATAGAACCATTGCTATATATTGAATAAGTGAGTAGCACACGCACAGCTGTGAAAATAAAAAAAAACATCTTGAGCAACATCATTTCCAACTATTGATACCTTTGTTTTGCTCTTTTTCTTTGTAGTGATTTTGCCATACATAGTCAACACCAGTTGCAACAATTGCCCATGAGATGAAAAATGCCAGGAAAGCCCTAAAAATGAAGATTTGCTTCGGATTCCATAATCAGTTACAAGCGATTACATGTATATCCAAAATGCTACTGGATACGTATTGCTTTTTGGTACGCAACTCGTTCCCGTAAATTGTAAGGGAATCAACTGTTGTGCGTTAGCAGCGTTCAGAAAATTCGCTATATCCTGATTGAAGTTAGTCATTTTTTGTTTATGCATCAAAAAAGCATTTTACCTTCTTTGTGCAGCTTTCTGGCATACATACTGCAACTTTTGGTCCAATGTTAGCATTCCCTGTGGCAGGCATATTTATCTCAATGTCGGTAAATTGCGACTGTAAAAATAGTACTCAGTTTAGATTTTCTATCAGAAAATACCAACCATATTGGTGACAGCGGCATTTACATAGCAATACTGGACTTCATAAGGAGCTTTAACTTCCATGCATTCCCTGTATGATCCTGAATTCATGATGGTGAGCTCCAACAGTCCAGGCGGGATCTTCCCAAACGCATCAAGTTCTGAAGTAGTTTACGTAAAGCTCGCGAGAGTAAATGCTGTTCTACCAAGGTAGATACGAATTTAATTAAGTTTGCTAACGTTGTATAGCAAAGATATTATCGTCAAGCTGTTTTTGCTGTGCCGGTGTACACGCACTACCGTTTTGTTGCCTACAGGCAACGAAGGTAGTCGTAAACGTGGTAAGCCCAGCATAGAAGGCAGTGAGATCTAGCAAGCAAGCTCTCGTCAGTTCCGTGTCATTCAGAAAGCCGGGATCGAATGGATAGGGAATAGGGGGTGCCTGAAAAAATTGTTATTGAGAATACATCAGTGGTAATATGCGATGTTAGGAATCAACACAGGTAGTTGCTTTCTATCGCCCTACACTCATCTACTATTTACTTGCTAAGATGGTAATCTTTGCCTAACCAAATGCCAATCTTTGCAATTATAGACCTAGTAAAAAGAAATCCAACTTATGCTCTTTTTTATTACAATTGCGCTATACATTCAACGTATTTTTGCGTTTATAGCTTGTTATCAGGTTCTTCTAAATGTTACATGACTAAGGAAGGGAGAGGATGAAACACAAATGTCATGTATTTTTGCTATTATGAAGTTGTGAGGTCAATGTCGGTTTAAATATGATGCTCATTTTCAGTAAGTGTTGGCGGAGTTGGCTGGCTTGACAACGTAATAGTGTTGTAAGGATTATCATTGAAAGCGTTCTTCATTCAACTGTTACAAAAAAAATTCAGAATAGGTGTTTGTTCAAACGTGCAGTCGTATAAAACAGTTAGTTGTAAAGGAAGAATTCAAACTTTCTGTTGCACTGTTACAAATTTGTTGTTAATTTTTAAAGCTTTTGATTCAATATTTGCTTCAATTAACGATGCGATAAATCGCCAAAATTTTTTTTGTCAAAAACGATGACATGTTTGGAAACGCTATATCTTAATAATGATGTGACAGTTTGTGTCATCTCAAAGAGCTTTAAGCTATGGCCTCAGGCAGAGTCACGCTATTTGATGCTCGCGATTCAATCGCTACAAGACAAGTGTTACGAGTTGAATCGCGAGGATCAAATCGCGTGAACTCTGCCCGGGCTTATGACTGTTTATGTCATCCCAATAAAAAACATTTCAAACTTCAGATTGATTGACATATTTGAGACATTTACAATCAAAGACACAAAGCAAAACGAATCGTCATAGCTTTATTTCCTCCCAGTGTGAAAAAGTATTGATATTCTCCTCTGCCGAAGAACTGCCTATGTCACGTGCTCTTGAATGGGCACGTGACATAGGGAACTTTCCAGTAAAGAAGAGGAAGTAAAGCTTGGTAACAACTTGAAATATCATATGTGCAACTAACCCACTTTATTCGTGATTGAGATTATATTTTTGCAAAACAAATTAATTTCTTTTTGCTTCAGTAAGTTTTGCATGTGAAGATGTACAGAGAAACACTTAATTTACTGATTGCTCTTTGTTTCAAAAAAATTCTTTCAAACATTTTATTTTGAAGTTGTATAATAATCATATTAGGTTCTCCCGAAAGTTTTGTCGCTCACTATAACCCAAAGAACACAAATCCATAGACGATTCAGGTATCATTTGATTCAGATTTTTATCCTCTTTTTTACAGCTAAATTTGCTCTCTGATCTACCCCCTCTTTGCAGTGCTATCGTCATGGCTTTTGGCAGTTCACCACTAACACCAAATCTTTCCTAAATTTTAAAAGCTTTTATCCTGATGTTTTCAAAGAGCGCTAGTAACCAATATGTAGAGCAAATCTTTGTTTACATTGCATTTATTTTAAATTACATGGACCACATTTATCAATTCGTTATGATTATTTATTTAAGAAAAACCGCGGCTTTTTGATTACGTCTACCACGTAAAGTTACCGAAAATTCCAAAAAGCTGATTTTTCAAAGCAAATTAACACGTTGACGACAGCGTGCAATTTCAGCTGTCTGCCCGTGGAACAATGTTTCTTTAACTAACAAGGGAGAGATACTAATTCAGATTCGACTTTTGCGATGAAACACATAAATTTGGAATTAGCTTGAAACGCTGATTCCAAATATCATGTTACAAGCTGCTCAGCGTCGTTTTGAAGCGAGTTATGGTCTCTTTTCTATGAAACGTTTGCGTGCTCCTCGACCTACTGATGCTACGGTGTCGACGTCTAGGTGGTTTTGCAATTGTATAATGCTCCCTTGCAAGATCGGAAGAATTAATCTGATGCTAGTTTAACGTCCTAGCGCTTTTTTGAGGAGATTCTTATCTAGACGCCGTCTTACGACGTTCAGAAATTTGTTAACTGCTCACAAATGCAAGCCCATAACTCGCTGCGGAATAACGCTAAGCAGCTAGGAAAAGCATGCTTGGAACCAGCGTTCAAAGCTGATTCCAGATGTATGTGTCACATCTCAAAGGGCGAATCTAAGTTAGTATATTTGTGAATTGAGATTTTTAGCTAAAATCAGGCAGGCGTCATCTGCAGCATTCCTACAGTGATTTGGAGAAACAGCCAAGAAACGCGGAAGCAATTTTTAGGAATAGAGCATAACAGAAGCGCCAAAACCGCAGTCATTGCATGAGACACCATGTGGGTCAGGTTGTCGTCAATGTGTTAACTAGGTTATATTGTATTAGGTTGAACCGAAAGTGCTGTCGCACCATTTTCAAAAAGTCGTAACTTTTTTCTATTGCAGTGATCTTGCATAGCTAAAATTTTTTTTTGGAAAGAGCAACCCATGCATTTTCTAGAAATACCTTGGTTGCTATCTACTTCACTCCGAATGCAGAGATAAAATTGGAGAAAGGAAATCACTCCAAGTCTGAATTTTGAGGCAAGCCCGTTAAAAAGTCCAAAACTGTGCCATAAAATCCAAAACAGCCAGTGTCCTAGGTTTTTTGATCCCCTCTTGCTAGCTGAGCAAAATTCGCGCTGGTCGAGCTACTTTCGGTTCAACCTAATATAATTATTGTTTACTAGCAGTTGAATTTCAATTCGCAGAGATTTCAATAGCTTTCATATTTTTGCTGCAGTTGCGTCTTTCATGACTTGGCCAAAAATCGAGACCTCCGAAGAAATGATTTTCAGAAGCTAAAAACAGCAGGATAGGAAAATCTAAAAATATCACCTTGTAGTCCGAGAATTGTTCTATTTGTGCTACACTTATCCACCTCCGGAACAATGGAATGAAATTTGAAAATTTTTGTACATCTATAGATGTGATTTGAAGAATTTCGCAATTCTCTGTTTTCAAAAGTTCATCGAACACAGGCTTTTTGATTCAGAAAATCTTTATGTTTCATCAATCGGCCTAAAGCTTAAAAAAAGACGGTGTAATTAGTCATCTCCATTCATTCTTTTCGTTGAAATCTTCTCACAAAAACAGCATGGTTTCAACTTAGATGCCTTGTATCTCCGAGTAGAGTTCTCGAAAAGAGGGACTGTTTAAGTCGAACAATCCCCATCTTTTGTCTCTGATATTGGATAGATTGCTAGAAAAACTTGTGGCTCTTCAAAAATGTTGGAGATGTTTGCTATTGGCTTGCTCCACCCCGCCCCCTCAATGGCTTGGCTTTCACCGTTGGAGTCGCAGGAACAAGACTTTTTTGGAGCGGGAAAGCCTTACGCAGCAACGCTTTATAAACCACTCGCTAGCTAAGAGCACGACAAATTGATGTAAACCGCCTCTTCTTTTCTAGCTCTTCTACAAAGCGAAATACGAGGAATTTTATCTAGCTACAATATCAGTTACTTCCGTGAATTATTTTATGCTTTATTCTCAAAAACGGAAAGGGTATTTTTCGGATTACAGTTTTGGATGTGAATGGAAATCCCTAAAACAGATGAATCTCATTCTCTCTCATTTACTATTATGCTCTGCAATGGAAAAAGATATGAATCGATTCTTGCCAGTGAACATACGCCTATCTAGCAAAATCAAACTTCTTATTCTTGCGCGATTCTTTCCTGCGACAATGTATACTCATTGAACAGTGTTGCTCATCAAAGAATTAAACATCTTCTAAATTTTCAGGCTTATTTCGTTATCAAAACTGCCACTATGAGTGAAATAAGAGGTCTTAAACTCGCGTTTTATTTTTCAGCAAACGCTGTAAAAGTGCAGTCGTGCAATGCACTAACTAGAAAAAGCACCGTGTTATCAAGTAAAATGTACACCATTCATCATAGGTGTTTTATTCTGCCGTTATGCCTTGACTTAGTTCTCAACCTCAAGTCAAAGATTGCGGCCCAAAAGTGATCAAAAGTGAAGGGGGGGGGGGAGAGAGAAATTGCTCCACTTATTGCACTTATGCACTAAGTACTACACCATCAAATCGAGCAAACATAGTCATTACTAAAATGATAAAAATCTGCTGTAACCCGTCGCATCAGTTTTTCAGTTAGGCAGATTATGACCTAATCTGCCTGAGTAACAAAAAGGCACGTAGTATGATATGCTCCTGGAAGGATTCACGATCATAAAAACCTTTTAAGACTAAGTTTATCGCAAAAAATTGTGGGGTATATATTTGCAGATATAGCAAGTTCGAAACGCTGGCATTCGACCGTAATCAGGTTTTGAAGAAAGCGTCTACATACTGGCTAGCTTCAGCGCGCGTTATGCTCAGCTTTTATTGCAAATACTCAAAATACTGTTTCCTTCAAAGATAGACGATCAAATGAGCATAAGCTCCACTTGAACTTACTTGTTAAATTTTTGAAAATGACTTTTTTGGGCATCTTCGCAGCGCCGCTGAACTTGTATACCGTCTATGTCCGGAAATAATGCGTCGCATATTTGGGTAAAGCAGCATATTTCGCGCGATTCCGTCAATACGCCACATCACAAGACTCGGCGACTTGCCAGATATCTGCAGATTGACCGTAAGTGGGCCTGAAGTGCAATCTAGCTTCTGTAAATTGCAGCCAAAATATCAAGTCTGGCTCAAGCAAAGCATTCACGACCACTTATGAGCAGTCGCTGCAATGACAGATCGCGTAGCGACTGATATCGCGTAAAGTATGCCTTGAAACATGGCGTGGTAAATGCGGGAACTATTGGGTGTTTTCGCACTGGCAATGGAAAACGCCGGAAAAGCAATTGTCCTTTGTGTCTCAAATTGCGGCTCGTGTATCAATTCGGACAGTTTTGTCCGCCGATTGTTTGATTGAACTGATAAGAACTGACTGCAGATGACTAAAAACTAAATCTGTGGGTGTATGCCAAGCCGAACGATACCTATAAAAAACATACTATCCCGCGCTTATCAATGCGCCGCGCATATATAATTCATTCGTTGACCGCACGGACACATCATTACGGAGCACGCGCCGCGAGGTAAAACGCTTGCCCCACTACAAATCCGCCATTGTACAAATCGTGCTCTCGCAACATTTTAGCTGCGCCGCGCGGGTCCGCCGCGTTTGAGCAGTCCGTGCGGTCAACGAATCAACGATAGTCGTTCTTTCTAGAGCACTATGTTCTTTACTGGATCAAAAAGTACAGCAAAGCGACATTGAGGAGTTGAGGCATATTGAGCTTCTACCGCCTTTTCCAAACTTTCAGATATCAACATAGCGTAGCTACAAAGACTTGAGATTTGACTTATTCAACGCAGGCTCGCACAAGCAATTTTTTGCTTGGCTGCCTCCCAAATCTGTTCGCGTTTAAGTTGACAAGGATTTGATGCTGCATCAGAGCCGATGTCTGTTGATACGATACTCTAGTGCCAGATACTGAAGTGAGCAAGAAACTGCGTTCCGCAAAACCCACTTCATCTATTCCGATCTCTCACACTTGTTCTCAGCAAATGGTAAATGATACCGCCGCACATCTCTTTTCCTTTTTATCGAATTGAAACTTGAAGTCGTTGATATGCCAAGAAGTGTCAAGTAAAGACGGCACAGCTTTGCTTTAGAATAGCGTCATAAGGCGCTTTTAGAGATTTGTCAACATCAAATCTCATGGCTTTTCGTATCTGTATTCGCATTAGTTTTTCGTAATTCTCGATAGAACTGTTCTAGGTCTTGATATAAAGCAAGAACTTGGTCCCAAAACTTCTCATATCCTTTCCCTCAAAACGCGGATTAGCATCAAAGATTCTGAGTGCTAAGAAAGAATGCGCCACTTGAACGACCAGTGCCGACTATGCGATCAAGAATGTAGTGTAGAAAGTGCTAAAGTTTTGTTCGTTTTCAAGTTTCTGCTCGTCGTCCTTGTGCTGAGCTGTGGACAGTATTCACAACGAGAACCTTTGGACAAATGATAGTCTTGATAGCTTCAGCAGCTCCGATGTCAAAAATTGTTCTATGTATTTAAAAATCGATGAAAAGATATCAATTGTTAACGAAGAGTCATCTACGACCCCCCCCCCCCACACCCTCGCAGTGTAAGTGTGTGAAGTTTGCCTGATCAGTTGAGAAATGTAGTTTCAATTCGACACATACGAACATGCGCGCAGACGTGTACACAGACATACATACAAACATGCAGAGCTTATCAATAGCAGTGTCGGAAGCACTAGCATTTTAGCTCCCGCACGGCCGCCTCGCCTGGACTCTGCACTTCTTTCGCGAACGTCTATCTTACCGCTTTCCCGCCACGAGCGTGGGAAACGCGGAGCGTCAACCGGTGAAACTGAAAATAATTAGAACATGTTCGCGGAAGAATGCTTAGTTCCGCGCGGGAGTGGAGATGCTGGTGCACCCGACAATGCAATTGATAGGTCCCGTATACACAAACAGATTCATCTTAATAGAAAATTAAACAAAGAGCTATCGTCGCTCGTTGACCGCACAAACTGCTCAAACGTTGCGGAAGCGCACCGCGCCGCTGAGATGTTATGGAAAGAAACTTGTACTGACGAGTTCGCACTTGAGCAGGCGTTTTACCCCACGCGAGTGCTCCTGATGCCCAGTGCTGCGGTCAACGAATCGATGATACTCCTTAAAGGCAGCGTCCGGGCAAAATTTCGCCTCTCATGTTTCTGCCATTCTGGGGCCTTTCCGTGGCTCTGATTACAGCTGTAAAGTTGAAATTGTTCAAAACTCCCAAGAAACCCCGTTCTGGGCGACTCTGTCTTCAAAAGGTGAACGAGTTTCGAATTGGTCGTTCCCATCGTCATGCCAGCGATAGGAGCTGTAACTGCACGGATGCAGTTGCATTGCAGTTTGCAGTGCATCTGCAATGCAACTGCGTAAGCACTCGTCCTCAGGGGTGGTTTGTGATACGAAGGGGCGGCTTGTGATACGTATCACAGGCCCGTATCTCCTTTTAGAGACCACGTCAAAGGACTGGACCAACGCAGATCGGATACTCATGGGCCCCTCTTTACAACTATGTGATAATCTGGGTGGATGGATCTTGCCTGGACGCTTCTATTCGGAACATACGGCGGAGCCGGGTAAGCCAGCTAGTATACTATATAATGACATTTTGGATTGAAAATTTTCCTTCACCTTTCTGTTGAAACTCAAAAGAATTCGGAGTCCTCAAAGGCAGCAAAGGCGTTTTATGCGTGTCCATTACCCGTCCTCGCGCGGGATACTAGCGTCACTTTCGCCTTCACGGACATGAGTTAGTAAACGTGAAGTAATTTTTAACGGCTTTCAGCACCAGTTTTTCTACCATTTAGTAAAGATTCCCTCTTTTTTCTCTTCATTTTTTTAGATTTTTTATGGATTTGGGAGTCAAACTTTGAATGGAATCTTTCAAAGATTCAGAAACTGTACATGGTGTTATGCATTAACCTTTTTTGAATAAAGAATTAGTTTTAATCCTCAAAATTGATAACATTGTAAGCATTAGAATTTGGGTGCCTCCCAGTGCTGATGATAAAGTCATTCTTAGAACTAAAGAATTTTCACGTAAAAAGCGGTTTTAGCAGGTCCATAAGTTATTTTTGATGTAATTTTTAATTTTTCGCAAGCTTCGTCTTCATCATTCAGTCCCTCATTGCTGTCTTTCACTTGCATCATGCTAGTTTCTGACGGAGAAACATTATCTATTTTTGTCACGGTATGGAATATGTACTAGCGTTATCAGCATATCTTGTCATCTTTTTGGCTGTTCTTGAATTGTTTCACACTTGTCAATCGTAAAATCTACCAGAAGCGTATTACGCCAACTATATCATAAGTTAGCGTTATAATTCTGTTCAAATTCTTATCATCTTATTAGCGCACTAAATTCAAACAATTTCAAAACCAACTTCTTAATTGTGGAACGTCTCCTGAGACAAGCCACACTGATCTTTTACTTTAAATTGCTGGTGATATCTGGTCAAAAATGCGATGTTAAATTATACGCGATTATCTAAAGCACCATTCTGCAATGAAAACCTATTATTTGAAGTTCCTACTAACGAAGGAGGAAAAGCGAGGTTTACGAGAAAAGTGGAAATAGATGGCATTGGTAAAATAATTGATCAGCTTTCAAATTATACCTATAAAACCTATCAAAAAACCAAACATTAAGGAATTAGGATAAATATTGGAATACGCGCTCAATCTGCTATGAAAAACTGCGGACTTTCTTAATTGAATTCGCTTACAAGTGCACCTAAGTTGGCTTATTTGTAGCATTTTATTATATCAAATGGTAAATGAAAATGCTTGACCTCACCTCAAACGGGTTTTGTCTAGCATCCTTGAAAAATAGCACTAAAATAAGAAAGGAACGGATAGACATGGCAAGCGAAAGAGACTATTTGGACTTCGGAATTTATACTGATAGAAGGGCGCTGAACGGTGTTGCCGTGTCTACCATTAAAAAACTCTCAAAAAGCACTTCAATCCTTATCGCATCTTCTCTCATACTTGTGCTTTGTGTTTTGTAGCTAATTTGGAGAAGAGTAAAAAACTCGCTCATTCGAATATTTCCCTCAGAACACGCTGAAGATTTAATCGAAAGAATTTGCAGCTATCGTCTTTTTGTTTGTACAGCTTTGTACACTGCTTGATCGCCATTACCTCTCTTTTCATGGAGAAATTTGTCGACCTTTAAAGGCAGTGGATCGGCAAAATTTGAGGTGCGGTTTTTTCACCGATTTCGGGTCTTCTCGACACCTTAAACCCCTGGGTGACCTTTTTTCCGCATGAAAATGGTAAAATCCCCGTCTTTGGGGACCCCTCCAAAAGGAGCCTGTGCGAAGTGATCCGGTTCGGTTCGGTCCGACTGTCGCGTCTGACGCAATTTTTGCGGTCAGAGACGCAGAGGTTGAGTTCGTGGTTTGGAAGGTCGTCGGAGAATAATGCTTTTTTTTCGAAATTTCGTCATGCCAACCGTTGCTTTGTGATTTCTTGCGCTCGTTTTTGTCCTCGAGTCCAGTTAACGAGTTTTTATTTTTATTTTCAGGGTATCTCTATGTCTCATGTTGATGTGTATCGGCCTAATATCATTACCTGGGTATGTTGTGCGGGTCAGCTTGTGCCACTGTACCCATTTTGGCTCATTCTCCGCCTGGGTCTTGAGGCTGTCTGGAAGATCATACATAATTCTAGCAGTGAAGTTTCTCATAGTTCTACTACGTGTGGATTCATTGTTTACTTTCACTCTCATGGTCGAACACCGTACCCAATAATTCAGGGTCCCTCTCATTGTCCCTCAGGGTTCCTTCTCTCGCACGCACCATTCTGTAGAGCTGGCTTTAACTTAGATTTACAGCATAGAGAGTAAAACCGAAATATCTTTGTCACTGTAGGATTATGACAGGAACTTCTTGCACATAGCACCTGAATCAGCTGTCATTTCAAAACTGAAAAAAACCGACAATTTATGTAAAAGGATTTCTAAGTACGCTGATCTTCTTTTTTTAACAATTTCTAGATCTATTTGAACAATTTCACGACATAGAGAAGGCTATAGCTACGGTACGCTTGGCGCTTATAAATGAAGCAATGCAGTAGAGTACAAACTTTGGTACTTTTCCGTTATCCTGACCCATTTTTTCAGAGAAGGATAATGTTTCTTTCCTTGCACCAAATTTGGTCCCAACTTCACAGGAAGGAGTGCCAACCTTCTGTCACGTGCCAGAAAAGTTTGACATGTCATCTACACGTTTAGCAGGTTCTACCATGAGTTTGTGTTGCCCTACCTGATAACTTGGATCAATTGTTTTTAACCAATAATGACATGATTTTTGACTAAACAATCTCAAGAATGAAGATTATTATAGGACCAGTGCGTCACCTCCGCTTCGCGGAGGTTCGCCCTGGCTCTGCTATCCTTATGCCTTTCTCATGTTCGCATGATAATGGTTCTCAAATTCATCACACGATGCTGAACATCACAAATGAATTGTAAACAACTGCTCATTCTTGATGCACCTTCACTTAAGATCGGTAAGTTTGAGAAAAAATTTTTTTCGCAAAGGGACCCTGTGAAGTCAAATGGATTACTGATTTGTCTTGGCTTGGTAGTCGTCATGAAGATAATAGTCATTCTGGGCTACATTTCCGTGCAAAAATCTTTACAAATGTTAAATTGAAACCTTACCAAATTGACTATATACGCGATCACCACTTTTCGGCGTTTTCGCAGAAAAGCAAATTTTTGAGCACTTTTTGGGCTAGAATTCATGAAGTGCAGATTTACTTAGCACCGTGTGGATTCGCTTGACGCACAAATTTTGTAGCACTAACGCAGCAGATCCGCACGAATTTGCTCAATTTGCCACGAATTTAGGTCTAGATATATTTAGAGGCGACTTTGATTAGCATAGCGCAAATGTCATTGGGTTATTTGTTTATTTCTAAGGCAAAACATGAGCTTCAATTTTTCAAACCCTATACAAAAATCCTACCGTAATGCTACAAAAATGGATACTCGGGGCAACCCTCCATACCATAAATCTAAGCTAAACCAACTCTACAAATTGGCACCTAGAGGTTGGAAAAAGACTCGTGGGAAGATAGATATCAACAGTGCATACGTCCTGGTGGGACATATGTATTTTTATTTTTTTATTTTTTATATTAGTTTTTTTATTTTTTATATCGTTTTTTAAATTTTTTTATTTTTAAACCTACATTTTTATAACCCATATAAGTAACTTTCAAAAATTTCGCAACCCATTCTCGGGGGACGGGGTGGGGAGAGGAGGGCGCGCCCCCTTACGGATGCAGATCTTCAGTCCACTTTTTTCATGAAGTCAAATTCTGCTCGTGTGCATGTCTATATGTGTATGTGTGTATGTCTGAGTGCTGTACGCAGGTTTCGAATAGAAAATTCCTCCTTTGAACCGATCAAGCCAACTTCACTCACGGATGATTTGAAGTGAAACGGGCGCCGTAGGTTACTCTTCGTTGACAAACAATATCGATTTCATCGATTCTGACAATAAGGTGCGAGGCTGGGATGGTACAGTGGATTAAGGAGCATGCTGATCACGAGTATAATGATGATTTTGAAATTTTTGGTTACTTTTTCGACTTCAACAAGTTTTTGCAAACTTTGAGCTACGCTGCTGAGAGTTGTACAGAAGGATAAGTGTGCATGCTGGTTACAGATAAGGAGTTTAGGAAGCTGTCATGTAAATGTAGGGTAGGGGCAAGCATATGTTGTCTAGAAATAGGAGAGTGATTTTTGTCATCATATCGGCAGAAAAACTAAAGCGGGGAATCTTTGCTAGTTATGGCATAGAGTGCAAGTTCATTGATTACCAGTGAACGGCAATTTCGGAAACTGTACTTTGAAGAAAGAGGAATTTGGGAATAGGGTATTATACGAGCAGCTTCAAGGGAAGAAACAAGGGCAGTCAATGGCTTCGCTGCTGTTTTACTCAAATTGCTCAAAGCATAGATCCACTGTAAACACTTCCGAGTTGGTAGTAACCATTCGTGTAGAGCACATGCAAAGGCATGAAAAAATTTGACTGTAATTCAGATCATATAGGAGATGTAGCATCAAACAACTACCTCTTACTCTTCCTCCTAGATCCACTCAGACCAGTCTTCTATTCAAGTAAAGATACGAAAAAGTCTTTTTCACGTTGCACTCATGTAAGTTATGCACAGTTCGAACTTAATTTTTATCAAAGAAGCATTTCTGAAAAAGCCCGTCCAAGTCAGACATCCTTGACTGCACCTTTTTTAATCTATTTGATGACAGACAGAACGCTATACTGTGCTGCTTATTTTGTGTACAAAAGCGAGGGTCTCTGAGTAGAAATCAGAATGTCGTTCCTGATACATTAAGCAACACAAACGAGTCAGAATCACCCGCGAGCGGAGGACAGGACAAAAGAGCAAGCAGACATCTCATTGAAGGCTTTCTTACATTTTGTGATAGAAGCTAGCAATCGGCACTTCGCCGCATAGGTGCAATATGTAGAGCAGTCAATCTCTCTGCCCTTTTCACTTTTAGGCCGGCCGCCGGTCTGAATGACCCCGTTCATCTGAGGTTGAGGCCAGGATCAAGGCATAATGGCAGAATAAAACACCTATGGTAAATGGTGCACATTTTGTTTGAAATCGCGGGTTTTGATAGCGAGGTTAAATTAGGGGATGTCTAATTCTTTGAATAAGCAACATTGTTCAACAGATATACAGGGTGTCCGTAAAGTATGTATACACTGTTTGATCGTTAATATCTCTTTTCCCAGGAAGTCTTTTGCCTTGCGTCAGGTACCATTTTGTAGAGCTGGCTTCAACTTAAATTTACAGTATGAAGCGAATCACCCATCTCTCTTCATCGCCGTAGGATTACGGTGGTAACTTCAAAGAAAGTGTTGAGCCATAAAAGGCCATATTTCGCCTCAAAAAAGGACAAAGCAGCCTGAAAAAAACTCTTGCACTAGGCTAATTAGAATTGCTGATTCTAACAGTAAAGTTCCCAACTTTTTATGATGCTTTATTGAAGAGTTATGCCGGGTAAGAGGTAGCGGTCATTTTTCCAATGTTCTTAAAAAGTGTGGTTACATCATTTAGAAAGCTTAGCAATCTTGTGAATAGTTGAGTATTGAACTCAGCGTCCATAAGAACCCTATTGCACAAGTTTTCACATTTTTTTGAAAAATTTTGAAACTCAGGTAGCTTTTTCCACATTGACACCATATGTTTCAAGTTTCTACCGTAATCCTACAGTAATGGAGAGGGATGGGTGATTCGTTCTATACTGCAAATCTAAGTTGAAGCGAGCTGTGCCATAGGGAGGCACACTCTCTCCCCTTCTTTTTCTCCTTACACGGCAGAACTGCCAACAGTTTTGAAGACCCATCCGGATATCAAAGTGCAGATTTTTGCAGATGACATAAAAATCTAGTTTGGTTACGAAGAGGACAAGCAAAATGTGGCTTACGAAGCAATCTCTAATTCTATACAGAAAATGATCATGTGGTCCAAGGAGTGGGACTCACCTGTAAACGCACTCAAATCGAAAGTTTTGCATCTTGGCAAATTCCACACGCCGCACACATACCTCTGTGACGGTGTTGAACTTGAGCAGTGCAGTGTTACCAAAGATTTAGGCGTTTTCGTTGATGATCAACTAAAGTTTACCACACACTATGACTCAGTTACTAGGAAAGCTTTGTCAACTCTTTTTGTTATATTGAAAAGCATTCATAGTAATGATCCCGTCCTCCTAGTTCGAGTTTACAAGACTTATGTCTTACCGCTTTTAGAATATGCATCTCCAGTTTAGAATCCCTCTTTAGAGAAAAACGTCGAAAAACTTGAAAAGGCGCAGAAAACCTTCACTAGAATTGTCTTCTACAGGTGTTACCCCAAACCGGACTACCCCCAGTCGTCGCCCTTTTGC